AAGCCGCTTCCTTCAGCCTAACTACTGTGTCTCTGAATGTGTATTCCTCCACCAGACCCCACGACATTCACATTGTTCAAATCCAAAATCAATACCGCTTCCCATCACAGCCCATCCAATATTGTCTCAGTGCCCACCATGTCGACAACGAAGGCAGTCGCATTGATCAGTCGGTCGGTCGGTCGGTCAGTCAATCGTTCGGTCGGTCGCCTTGTGGCTCGATCCGCTCGCCCTCGTACGTGTGAATGTGTCAGCAACAGTCCGTCAAACAAACGATCAAGAAGGGAGGAAGGGGAGAGGGGGAAGGGAAGACTTGCCTGTCACCAACTCCATGCCACCACCACCACCACAAAGCCCACCACCCGAACCTCCCAGCACACCAACACCCTCCCCTCTCGAAGCCCCTCACCGTCCCCTTGCGAACGGCGGCCCCTTCACTCCCTTATGGAGCTTCCCCCCAGCACCAGTAATCCTCCCCTCTCGAGGCCCCCTTACCGTCCACCTGCGAACGGCGGCCCCTCCGCTCCCTTATGGAGCTTCCCCCCAGCACCAAACTAGTCCTTGCCGAACCCGAGGCCCCCTTACCGTCCTCCCGCGGACGGCGGCCCCTTCGCCCTCTCGTAGGGCTTCCCCCCAGGTCATCAGTTTTCTTTTTTCCTCCACGCTTCCCCCGGGGCTTTTGATGGCGCCCCCTTCCCCTCTTTTTCTTTTCTTTTTGAGACGGTGCCACGGTACGGCTTTTGCCGTGGCTGCTTACCCGTCCACGCCGGGGAGGAGGAGGATGATTGTGAGGAGTGAACACCACAGCCGGGCTTTGGAGATGGTGGTGCGGCGGCTGTTGGAGTGATGCGGTTGGGTGGCGGCGATTGCGGCGCTGAAGTTGAATTTTTCTCCTCTCCTCTGTTCTCCTCCCCTTGGCGAGATTAGTCCTGTCCGGCTGTTTTTTGCCGGATCTCTCTGTTTTTCTTCTTTTTGGTGGCTCTTGCTTCTTGTCGAGCTGAGACCGGGCGTTTTGGTTTGCTGCCCGGTCGTTGTTTTGTTGCCGTGATGACCGCGCGCTGGGTGGATGGGTGGTGGTGCGCTGTCGGTCGTTTGCGTCCCTTTTGGTTAGGTTTTCGGACACTGAGGGAGTGGCTTTGGTGGCACTCCCTTTCTTTCACCTTTCTTACTTACTTTCTTTTCTTCATTCTTGAGGGTTTTATTGGGGTGGGAAGGAAGGCGTTGTGCGCTGCTGCTTGATGGGCTGCCTTTGATACCGAGATTTGGAGTTTGTTTGAGTGATATCGGTGGCGTAGCGCTGGTCCGTACAGTCGTGCGAGCGAGACAGCTGACTGAAGTAGCTGGTTTGAGGTAGCTGAGTTGTCGTTGCTGCTCTGATTGATGCTGACTGACTGGTTGACCGTACGCCTCCCTTCCCTTGCGTCCGCGATCGCGACTCCGGCTGGAACTTGATTAGATCGTTCCTGATGGCTGTTCGAGAGAGAGCCAGTTCCAGACTCAAGATCTGAGTTTCGTGCAACGACTCTGACGACTGGAACCAGATGGAGGTAGTCCCTGGTGGCTTTTGAGAGAGAGAGAGCCAAGTCGAGTCGTGCTCCCAAGATCTGAGATGCTGCACAGCTAGATGGTGTGCTGCTGGATGCCGGTGTCGCGCTCGATGGGCGCGGTGCTCCTGTCATGCTTGTCAAGTGCTCTTATTTTGCTCAAAGGATGAAGCGAGATCCCGGTATCGCTTCTCCGAAACGGCGTTACGCGGCAAGAAAGATTGGAGCCGGTTGTCGAGTGACGTGTTGATTTGACGGTCACTGAGGTTCGCCAATGTCCGAAACCCAGAGAGTAGAGTTGGGCGGACGGATGGTAAGTGAGCTGAGCACAAGAGTTCGTGGTTCTCCGAAATGGGCAAACGCGGCTGAATGGATTTGCGCCGGCGTTCGTGTGACAGAGTTGTTGGGCTGTCGGGAGATTTCGTGAATGTCCAGAGCCCAAAGGGTGGTTGTGGGCGGACGGACAGATGAGCTGAGTGCCTGAGTTTGCGGAGCGAAGTTATGCTTCTGCCCGAGTTCCTCTTCTGCTGGTGTTGATTCGCCAATGATACATGTCTCGTGGCGTTAAACACTCGCGGTGTTGTTGAGGTCTCGAGGGCGGGAAGCTTGCAGTGTTGCTGCCGAAGCTGATGTTTTCTATGAGGCTGCAAAACAAAGTTGTGCTTCCGCCTGAGTGCGTTGAATTCCCGATTGTGAGGGTTTCGTGGAGTCAACTGAGTGAGGTCTCGAAGGCGGGAAGCTTGCTGCTTGTGCCAAAGCCGAAGTTCGCAGATGTAGTCGTGCGTGGCTGATGGAAGGCAGATGGAGCAGCTTGGAGGGAGTTGGGCGCTTCTGATGGATGAGTTCCTGCGCGTTCTCCCACTGGGCAGTGAAACGGCTGTCGGGACGAGGAAGTCTGGAGAGATAGAGGTCCTGATTTGACGTCGTCCGATTCGCGTTGTGTCCACTGCCAAAAGAAAATCGTGAAATGCAGCATGATGCTGCCGGGATCATTGATGTTACTGAGGGGCCAGAAATGGCTAGCAAGAAGTGGCAAAGCGAGAGGTAGTGATAAAATCTGGGTTCGAGTTTAAGTCAGTAAATGCCTTGCAATGAGAGATCTGAATGGAAAACCTACTTTGTGCTGAGCCCTTCTGCGTGATACTGAGGAGTCGAGCTGCCTGCTACCGAGTTCGATCTGGCCAGATGAAAGAGTGGGCTCGAAGAGAATCTGGAACGAACGAGATATGTGGTTTGCGTGGTAGCAGGAAAGCTGAAAATGAGGACGCGACCAAGTCCTGAATGAGGAGACGTTGCCTGCTTGTGACCTTGCCAGATCTTCTTTGAGAAGTGCCGCTGCTCTGCTTGTTTGTGATTTTGATTGGACGTTTGACCGTATGCTTGATAGCGCATTGATCAGGTCTTGAAGAGCGATTGGAGGCACTCTGGATTGTGGATAAGAGCAAAGAGGTTGCAGTTCAGGCAGCAGCGATTGAGTCGTGGGTTTGTAAGTTGGGGCAAGGTCGTTGGCAGCGTATGTTTGTAGTTGCCATAAAGCTGAGGTCCTACGCACTGTGTCCGACCCTGAGAGGGTGAAGTGTTGAGCGAAGTTCACTGGACAACTTGGTGAAGCGCGAGACCAGGCTATTGAAGCAAGGCATATCGTCTCCGGCGGCTCGCTCGTGTCTCTGGTCTGATTTTTGTGTCCATAGTTATGAGAAGATTGTGTGAACGTTGAAGACCGGTTGAGACTATCGTTTGGAGCCGCTTTGAAAATGTAAAAGGGAGATCCCACTGGGACGACAATGTCTCTCTTCGGCTTACTGAAGGTGAAAGCCATTGATGAGAGTCAAGTGAAGTTCGGCTCATCCTGAGATGAGGAAGATCTGTCAAAAGTCGCCAATTGGTTGTAGGAAATCCCGTTGATCGACCGGTGTTCCGAGCCTCTACTCGCTGAAAGCCCAAAGAGAGGTGAGCTGTTCGCTGAAAGCTCAAAGAAAGGCGAGCAACAGCAGATGAGAATGAGGCATAAGCCGAAGACTTGCGCGAGGTGCATGATCGTAAAAAAGCGATCGTGTTGTGAAATCCCCGCTGCACCTGAAAGAGAAAGCGCAAGTCATCGCTTCTGAGAACCCGTTGTGTCGTAAATCCGCCATGTGAAAAATGTGACTCCGGCTTTCCGAGATGCCTCAGCATGCTAGACGACGCCCGATGGTATGGACAAGAGTCTTGGCTGCAATGAGAAGAAGTTCGGAAGAGGCGTTGGTCGGACTCGTGCAAGGTGCTACATCGTTGCAAGAGAACGAACGATGTGTGAAATCCCCGCAGCACCTGAAAGAAGAAGCGCGAGTCCAAGCCTGTGGAAAGTCCGGTAGTCGAATATCCGCTAAGAAAAAAAGTCTTGACAAGTGGCAATGTTCGTCGCTCTGTGCTGTTCAAAGTCCCAGAGAAACCGAAGGACATGAAGAGAGAGAAGCACTGAGTGACAATCGTCGGAGAATCTGCGCGAGGTGCTCGATCGGAAGGGTGTGATCGTGGTGTGGAAAGCTCAGAAGCACCAGATAGAGAGCGCTGATCCTCGGTGACGGGTGGCGTAAGCTGTGGACTCAGGCAACGTGCTTGATCAGAAATGAGAAGTCATGATCGTAAACCGCCGTAGCACGAAAAGAGAGAGAGTGAGAGAGCACGAGTCCAAGCTGCCGGAGAGCCGTGATGTCAGAGAAATATGTGTCGAAACGCTGTGGTTTGCAAGACCGCCGTATGCCAATGGTCCGCCTCAGAGGAAGTGAGAAGCAAGACCGGGAAGAGAGAAAGGCAAGCCGGAAGAAGAGGCGTCGGCTTCGAAGTCGCCCAAGATGCCAGATCAAAGAGATCCCAGAGCCCAAAAGCTCGTTGCATCGGAAGGAGGGAAGGCGAGGGTCGAAAGCAGTCGTAAGCAATCCAGAAAAGCTGTCAGCTTCGGTGTCGCCGCAGATGCTCGATCGAAACGTGATCGTAGAGCCCAAAAGCTCATCGCATCTGGAGAAGGGAAGGCGAAGATCCAAAGTAGTCGTAAAGCCAGCGTGTCGAAATCCGCCAAGAAAAAAAAAACACAAGTCTCGCTTTTGGAATGCGCAATGAAAAACTTTTGGGGTTCGATGACCGGGCAACAGCTCGCGAGAGCCGAAGGCGAAACCAGTCCAACGAACGGGAGAAAAGTCGTTCGGAAAAGCTCAAGCATCGAAAAAAAGCATCGAAACGAGCAAAATGCGCATGGAAAAAACCAAAGTTGAACAAGGAAAAAAACCGCAAGTGAGCCGCGAGGCTGATACGAGCAGTTGAAACCGGGTAGAACTTTCCAGTAGAGAACCGTGTTGTCGACAAAAGCAAGGACTATCGGGATGGATTCAAGAGCCGGTCGGCAAGAACGAGTCACGGCTGCGGGGTAAAAACAAGCTTCGGACCAGGAACACAAGGACCCAAATCTTCCAGCATTACTCAGATGCCTTCATACTTGAGCGTCTTGTGGACCACGGCCTTCCACTTGCGCAGCCACTCGTTGAACGAGCTGACGGTAGCACTCCGAGCGTATTTCTCAACGTTCGGCAAGTGCTTCTTGTAATCCGCAGCGACCTTCTTCAGAAGGCGCTTTCCAACGATGTCCTGCATGGCCTTTTGCATGTTCGCGAGGTGGGCCAGCAGCAATTCCGGAGTAGCCGGATCCTCAACATCCTCGTCATAGTCGACGATGAGAGTATCCAGCATGTCCATCATGCTGTCGGCCTTTTCCTCCGCGGAAACTGCAGGCTCGGTCGACGAGGGACCTGCGGCCGTGGGCCTGGCGCTCGACTGGCGGGAGCCGGAAGACTCCGTCGTCGGAGCGGGGACAGGGGCGCTGCTGCTGCTGCCCGACTTCTTCTTCTCATCCGTCGACGAGTCCTTGGCTTCCACGTCCTTGCCCGAAGGGCAGCCCGAAGGCACGGACACCTCAGCCTTGGAGCTCGACGCAGGAGGACGAGCCGAAGAAGTGGCGACCTTGCCGGCCGCCTTCACCTGGCCAGCGACAGAAGAACTGCCACCAGCAGACGCAGAGAAAACGGGCGCGGCGCGGACGGCGGGCGCGACCTTACCGGCCGTCTTCACCTGGCCAGCGACAGACGAGCTGCCACTGGCGGACGCAGGCTGGACGGGCGCGGCGCGGACGGCGGGGGCGACGTTGCCGGCCACCATCACCTGGCCAGCAGCAGACGAGCTGCCACTGGCGGACGCAGGGACGGCGGGCGCGGCGGGAACGACGGCGGCAGGCTGCGACGTGGCGCGCGCCGGGCCAGTAGCCACGAAGTCCATGCGGTCGTCCGAAGACGCCAGGACGACGGGCTGGGCGCTGGCGACCGGCAATGCGGGAGCCGACGAAGCGAGCACTGGGGCGGGCGCAGCAGGCGCGAATGAGGCCGAGGTGGTGGTGGCGTCGGCCATGGTGACGTCCTTGGTGGCAGGGGCGGGCGAGAAAGCCGGAAACGGCTGAGCCGAGCTGCCAGGCGCCAGTCCTGTTCCTCTCGCCGGGGGGTGAGCGGCAGAGGCATCATCGGACTGGCCGGTGCGGCCGGAAGGCGCGCACGACGATGGCTGAATGGGGGCAGGAGCGGAGGCGCGAGCCGGCGCGTCCTGGGCCATCGTCTGGGCCTGGGAGCTGGAGGAGGAGGAGGAGGGGTTGCCGGACGAGGAACCAGAGGGACCGGAGGGACCAGAGGAGGAAGCGGCGGCGGGAGCAGACGAAGGAAGCGGAGCGAGACCGCCATCGGAGCAGGGCAGTCCGGGATGGACTAGCTTCATCCGTTTCGAAACGGAAGTCAGCTGAGGGCCCACCTGAGCAGGCTGCCTCTCCCAAGCGGAAAAAATCCGCTGAATCTCCGACGCAAACGGAGCGTACGGCAAGTTGCCGCTGGCGTCTCGCTTGAGACACTTCACATAGCGTCCGCCCGGGCCGTTCCAGGGCGAGTTGTCCATGTGGGCGTCCTGGGAGGACAGTGACTGGTCTCCGAGCCAGACCGAGCCAACTGTGGCTGCCTGAGGGACCGCCTGCAAGAACAAAGTCAGATGATGATCGGACAAGTGAGGCGAGGTGAGGTGAGATGGGTGAGGCAAAACTTACCGGCAGGACAATCTTCGGGAGTGAGGTGTACTCGACACCTTCCATGGCCTCGGCGGTGAACAGGGAGGACTGCATGGTGGATTGGTGGAGGGGGGAGCGGCGGAAGAAGAAGCGGATGGGGGCGGGGTCGGTGAAGCTGGTTCGGACGGTGAAATTCGATGTCGTAGCGGGCGCGCGGGGAGGCGGCTGGCGTACTCGTGGAAAATCGGTGTCGACGAAGAAGCTGGAGGAAAAGAGAGGAGGGTCGAGGGTGGGCGGGCGAAGTTTTGATGCTGGCGCGATCTCGCTTCGCGCGGCGGCAGCAGACCTGGTGTAGGTTGATCAGTTGACCTGGCAGGCTGGGTCGCGCCTGCCCCAACAGTGTGTGCCTGGCAGCCATGCCGGTCACCCACACACCGATGCGGAAGGAGGGGTCGCCACTTTCACCTTGGTGAGTGAGAAGTGATCAATCCGGCTGTCCAAGTGAGGCAAGTCAGGATGCCAGCCGCGAGCCGCTGTGTCTGCAAGCCGCGAATCGTATACACTTCACAGATATTGCGTGTGAGGCACGATATGAGCATGTTGGAGAATGGTAGCAGTTATATACATCGCTTATGCTTTCGATAGAGCTGAGGCCTTGTTGGATTGAGGCGCAAGGAAGGCGGAACGCTTCTATACCAGAATATCCAGCCCAAGCAAACAATGCAGCCGCGGAGGCGCAATGAAAGCCCCGCGCATCCGCCATAACACTCACAAGCAAAGCCAAACTGTAGAGACGTGTTTGTGTGGAGTTCGAATTCTCCGCAACTGTTGTCGCGGCGCAATGGATCGAGGCGCAAACTGCTGGCGGAGCGACGTTGAGGTGGCCCGTGCGCGTGGTGTTGCGGCGGGCGATCCCCAGGCGCCCCACGCCGCCGGTCGCTCCCCGCAAAGCTTGATTCGGGCGCAGATCAGAGCCGCATATTTTGCAACCGCTCGAGACGACTTCGTTGCCGGTCTTGAGCCTGATGCGCCGTCAGCCGATCGCATGGCCGACGAGAGCGTGTAGCCGCAACTTGCGTCGCGAGTGACAGCGACCTGCAGTTCTCCCAGTGACGTCATCAACGTTGGTCGCGACGATGCGCGGGCGTTGCTTAGCCCCGCCGCCCACAAAGGAGAGCGAATTTTGCGATCTACCCGTGGCTACAGTCTCAGTCGCGAAGTCACGTAGGTGTACGAAGCGAAGCAAATGCGTGCTCCGCCTGGCTCTGTTCGTCGGGCAGACGGCCGCCTGGTACTGGATACGTTCTCTCTTTGTGTTCTTAGATCTTCTGCTGCCCTCTTGTGGCTGCGCAGCGCCAATGAAGAGAATCTGTACATTGCCCTGAGATGCGGCTTGGAGTGAGGTCGGCGTCCCCGGCTGTCTGCTGCGTCACTGTCCCGCGCGCCCAGCCGCCCTTCAGTGCCGCGACGAAAAGAAGCGGCGGGGATTGGGGTTTTCCATTACGAAGAGTAGCTGAGCATCTGGAGCTCATTCTCACAGATTTTACCTGCAGGCCTGCAGTGAGAAGGATCCCGCGGGCCTGCCTCGAGCCTGATTGCGCAGCTCAGCGGCATGCGGCGAACACGGGCGGCCGGCCAATTGCGCTGCGCTGCCAATGACTAGGTGAAAATTTTTCAGGTAAGAGTATCAGCCCATCGCACCAGGTATGCGCTTCGGTGGGTGCCCACAGGCAGCGGCGGCGGCGGGCGCAGATTTAGCGAACGCGCTGATTGCCAGTCGACAAGCGGCCGCGGTGATGGACTGTTCCGCCGATGACTCACCGCTTCTCGAGCGCAGGTAGTGGTGGTATAAGCCTTTGGGGCCTGATATGCGCTCCGGTGGGTGTCCGCGCCTGCCGCCGCCGCCGCCGCTCGTGGATTTTGGCGAACGCGTTGACTGTTAGTCAACGAGCCACCGCTGCCGCCGACGGTTTCTCCAGGCCCCTTCGCCGGTCCTGTGGCCTGAAAAAATCTTTCCGCCCCGTCGCAGGGCCTGGCGGGCGCCGGGCGCGCTCGTGGCGCAAAAGTCAAAGGCGGCTGCTCCGTCGCCTGTCCATATTCTTTCACTGACAGGCAAGGCTCTCGACCTTCCGCCGCGGCGGGCGCAGGCCCCAGAGTGTTTCACTCCTCTGTTTCTGCGCGCCACTCGCTGCCGCTGCCGCTGCCCCTCGGCGCCCTGCGCCCCCGCTCTTCCTCCGGCTCGCGGCCTTTCACCAGCCGTCTCTCTGCACCCACGCTATTCACGATCGGCTTCACCCGCTCATATGCATCACCTCAGTACCACTCGTATGCCTCTCTTCCGCCGCTCCCAGCCTCCCCTCCTCCCTGCGCTTCCGACAGCCACCCGCTCGAACAGCTTCCGCCCGATGCCAACTCACAAACTCTCGCATCGAGTCCCGCCAACCGCAATCCTACTCTCAGGTGTTTTACATACTGCCAGAGTGGCCGGAGGAAGAAAGAGGCCGATGGTCAAATTGAACATACTGGTGTGAATCTTGATGTTTGATGCCATGTCAAAGAGAACGAGCGTCTTCTTTTTTTTCTGGAGGGTTCATGTGGTGGCGTCGAAGCACAAAGCACGACATGTACGCGGCATTGAGACTGAACAAAGGAACCACTTATCGTTAATACACACCACGGACAATGTCCAGAGAGAAAGGCATGGTTTTTTTCCCCAGCGGTACGAATGCAGTCTTGCGCCGACTGTCGGATGCGGCGAAAATGTCTGAACTATGGCGATCTCGTTTACGATGTTCCCAATTGAGTAAAAGCACTCGGACGGTAGAGCTTCGACTTCGTCGTCTGTCGATGGAACGGGATTTCTCTCGTGGTGGCAGTGTCTGGATCTCGCGAACTCGCCGTTGCCGGAGTGGATGTCAGGGTCTGCTCGAGTGTCTCGTCCTCGCGGGTAGTGCTGAAAACCCTCACGAAACCTTAGACCTCGAACAGGCCTATTTGCGAATCTACGATCTGTGGCTTGAACTTTTCAGCGACCGCGGCCTGAGAGCTGATTATGGATCGCGCTCTCAGGGCTGGCAGCGGCTCGACCATTCGTTGATCTAAATAAGCTTTCCAGGTCTCTATCATCTCCGCTCAATTGCTTTTGTCTGCTTATGGTCGTGCGGAGAACGCGGTGCTGGGTGTGATTGCTGAGCGAGCCGTGGCAATCCCGTGGCACCTCGGTCCCATGACGCTGCTTGGCGGTAGTGCCACCTTCTTAAAAACATTGGACAGAATGGAAATAGAAGATGATGCTCTTTTGCTCTGAGAAAGTTGAGGCGAGCTTTATTTTGAAAGAGGGTTGTGACTACTTAAATATTTGAAACAACAAAGAATGCGACCCGCCCAGTATACTTGCGAATGGGCAGAATTGGACTATTGATTTTGGAATCTTCCTACTGCTACTTACGCCAGCATTGTGCACATGTACTCATGCTCCATGGGGTGTTGTGTTTAAACTCCGCTTCGGAAAACTCTATTAAATTGGATACGTCTATTTCCGGCAAGCAGTGCGGCTGCATCATGGAACCGTCGAAGTACTCCTGGTATCTACCAAGCGACCCTATGGTAATGGACGACCGTGCAACTGATAAAGTAGAAAAGGTGTTGGGGTATTCCAGCCTATTGGCATTGTATTCCCTATGTTTTTCTCGTTTGGTATGCAAATTGCAAAGAGAAAAACCCAAAGACCGTTACTACCGATCTTGCGTTTTGCTTCTGCCATGCACGCAAAGCTGGCATGTGGAAAGCATTGTACCTCGGAGATCTTCATTAATAAAACCCTTGTGGCAGTCGGAGCCGAGAGCGGGGTCATGATGCCGGGTTTCTTGATGAAGGGCCAGGGATGTGTTGGAACGGACGGACCAGGGGAGGAAACCCGGTCCGGCGCTCCCGCGGGATGCTGCGCTGCGCCGACGCATGCGAGCTCGCTCTTCTGTCTCTATAAAATGCAAAACTCCACCTCCATGGGATCTGAGAAGTCAGCCGTCAATGTTGCTTCATTGTCTCTCGCGACAACTGAGACCAACTCAGGCAGCACAGAACTAAGTCATCAACTCAACCCTCGTTCGTACACTATATACCTATAGCCTTGGCCGCCACGCTCATCAGCAGCACTCCCCAGCAAGCCGAGGCAGTGGTGCGGACCTGCGTCTCCGCCCGCGTCATTTGTCATACCCCTGTAGCTAGCTAACCACAACCAGATTACGAACTGCCTATCCGGTGCATTTTAAGCTCAACTTTCCCGCCGCTACCCCGGATTTCCCCACGTTGCGTCGATCAAATCATGTTCTCCTCGCACTGCTCGGCATCATGTGCGGTTTCAATTATTGAGATGCTCATCCTTGCTACTCATGGAGTGAGCTGGCCGAGCGGGGAAACTTACAGCTTCCTATTCCGTGCCGAGGCGCCAGAAGGTTACATCAAGAATTAGTTGAATACAGCAGAATTTAATTTGGGCACTCTGAAAGTCCCTCTGACTCTTGCAGTAGCCTTGCAGGATTATTCTTTTATCACGCCTCGCTTATAATGCGCGTCGCTCACTTTGAGGGATCAAACGCTTCCGACGATTCTTTTGTCATCCCACAATCCAACTTGAGCCCCTCGAAACAAGACGTTTTTTAACGAGGCAACACAAGTTTCGCCATCATGCGTTTCGGAATTTTGGCGGCTGTCATTTTCTCCTCGGTCGTCTTTGCCGTGCCGATTGCAGAGAAAAGACACGCAGCTCTAATCGAGAGCCGGGAAGATGCGCCAGTCCCAACCGGGGCTGCGGCCTTCGGTGAAGCACTCGGGACGATTGGAGACAACCTCAAGACCACCAACGAGACACTCAACGAATACTCGGGCGGTCTCAAAGGCATCGGTCAGCTTCTCAAGATCCAGTCGGCAACCAGCGATCTCGGCGACGCCATATCCAATGCGACGGCGGTTGCCAAAGCAACTGGCCAATTGAGTCTCGCAGACTCGTAAGCTACCACTGTTTCCACTGACGTAAAGCGAACTGCTAAGGTCATGGATAGCGCCACCGTCGGCCAACAGTTCCTACAGCTTCAACCGCAGATCAACAGCTTGTTGGACAACATCATGTCCAAGCGTGCTGAGTTCCAAAATGCGGGTTTCGGGCTCATCGACGTCATTTCGCTTCTGCGATCGAATCTGGAAGAACAGAAACAGGAATCCAAGGAACTGGGCGATGCAGTAAGCAGCTCACCCCTGTCTTCTCCGGGATCTCCTGTTTTCGTGCCATATATCGCAAACGCTGTACTTATACCCCTATCAGACGATTGCCATCCTCGACCCTTCACTCACATCTGTCGCTACGCCCATCAATGAAGAGATCCAGACCAAGTTTGACGACGCCATCGCTGCGTATCAGGGTCGGGGTGGGCTCATCACGATTCCTCCAGGCCTCATCGGGTTGCTTGGCGATGGGGATGGCAACTGAATTATTCATAATTTCAACTGACAAAATGGATTGAGGGAAGTTGTTTCCTCAAAAAAAAAAATTTGTCATTATGGATACGCATCATGACAGTCACGACTGAATCATTCTTTGAGCAAAAATCCGTCAAGGTATTCGCGAGGCTGACAAGGCACGACGCAGCGGTGTGGTTGATTTCTCTGGGGCGCAGTACCTAGTGCAGCCGATCTCCACACATGATCGGACCATGGACCCTGGGAATGGATTCCGTGAATCCCGACAGCGCCCCACTCAATGCAGTATGATTTGAAATGTAGCAGAATTGATGCAAAGATGAGCGGTGATGATTGCTTCTTCGCAACGGCAAATAATAATACTTGAACTATTGCCTGCCACCGCTGATCCTTTGGCGCAACAAGCAAGCTGACGAAGGATTATTCGCGCAACTCCAGTCCCCCGCCCGCATCAACGCAACCTCTCCAACCGCCACGCCACCAACCCGTCCTGTCGCGCGCCGCACGCAACACGCAAGCAGCTCAGCCTCTGCGCCACGCGCCGCCACACCGCCACCGTCGATCGACGAAACAAGCCTCAGTCGCGCCCTGGACGGGGTGCCACAGGGTGCCGACTTCCACCCTGCGCCACGGCCTGTGACGCAAGCCCGTGCGCTCCCGGGGCCGTGATTCGCTGATGCACACAGGCCACGGCATCCGGATCGCTCGGCGTCATCGGCGTGCGGTAGGCTGAAGCTTGTTCCTTTTATTTAAGGACCAGCCTGCATTCCTCTCTCGCTCCCTCTCTTCTCCCTTGACATTTTGCAGCTGCATCTACGACACGCCTTCGCTGTGCTTGAAACGACATACGAATACCGATAAATTCGAGACACCATGTCCAACCGCCCGCCTTCTTCGACGGTGAGTCGCGCCTTTTCTTCTGGATGCTGGATGCTTGTTGGGACATTGATGGCGTGAGGCTCGCCCACTGCTGGCTGGATGGCTGCGAGTCGCTGCCGTCGCGTCTCGCGCCTCCACATGCTGTGCTTGCGAATTCGCGGCTGCGCAGCTGCGAGGCCGAGGGTTGAGCATCTCTGGTGTGCGGGCGTGGAGGAAGCGTGGGACAGTAGCACACACATGCGGCCTCGGATCGCCCGGAGGGGCTTGATCAGCACTCCCGTCACCCATCACAATCCACGCCTGAACCGCCGATTGCTGACAACAACGCCCGCCAGTCCGACGTCCTTCTCTATTTCCTGGCCATCTTTGTGCCACCCGTCCCCGTCTTCATCAAGCGTGGCTGCGGCGCTGATTTCCTCATCAACATCTGTCTGAGCATTCTGGGCTGGATTCCCGGCGTGCTGCGTAAGTTTTGATGATTATCGAACTCCTGGTGTATGCTGCTAACATTGCGCGCAGACGCATGCTGGGTCATCTCCAGGACTGAGGGGGTATGAATGCGGACGATTCGCGGAGGGCGATAATTATGGGATGAATGCTGCATTGTTTTTTTTTTCTTTGGATTTGGATACCCGTTGCTGATCGTTTCGGCTTTATGTTTGTGGTATAATTTACTATTCTGCTGTTCTTCTGCTGCGCTGTCCTCTGGCTTGCTCCAACTCGCGCCTTCCCGTGATGCCGCGTCCGCGCGATGCTGACGTCAAGACAGACCCACCGCGCCGTGCTCTCGCTGACAAATTGATCCATCTGAGAAGCCCGACTCTACAAATTCCCAAAAGCAGCTCCGAGCACCACGACTTCATCATTATCACTATCGAAGGCGACCATCTCCAACCATGACAACATACGCACGCGTTGCAGCCGTTACAGGCGCCAACAAGGGGATCGGCCTTGCCATCGGTCAGAGCTACCCCGCATTAGCCCATCTCTCTCCACAACACCACCGCCAAGCACGTGCTTCTCTCATCTGATCATCGCTCCCTCCCGGAACAATATCCCGCCACGGAATCCAGCGCTGACATGACAGAACGAACCCAGTCCGCAACCTCGCCCTCCAATACCCCGCCTCCGCCCTCAACACCGGCCCGCTCCTCATCTACCTCACCGCCCGCGATGCCTCCCGCGGCCAGGCCGCGCTAAAGACCCTCGAGTCCGACGACCAGCTACTCAACGCCAAGGTCCTGAAGGCCCAGGACGGCCCCGTCAGTCTCGCCTTCAAGGAGCTGGACATCAGCAAGAAGGAAAGCATCGATGCCTTTGCCGCCTACCTACAGAAAGAGCACGGCTCTATCGACATCGTGATCAACAATGCTGGCATCGCCATGGACGGTTTCGGTGCGTTCTTTTCTTCCCCGCTTCTCCCCACCCACTTCGTACTCCACGCCATCCACCAATCCATCCCTCAGCCTCCACCATCATCGACCCCCCACATCCCCACAGCCCCCACCGCCAAACCAAGCCAACCAACAACCATCAAAACTAACCAGCCCCACCCCGCGCACATCCAGACTCCCACGTCGCCACCACCACCATCGCCACAAACTACCACGGCACCCTCCACGCGACCCTCGCCCTCCTCCCCCTCCTCAAGCCCGCCTCGACCTCCCGCCTCATCAACGTCGCCAGCACCGCCGGCGCCCTCTCCAAATACCCGCCCCCGCTCCGCGCCCGGTTCCTCTCCGCCGCCGCCTCCCCCTCCCCCACCGCCGACGCCGCCACCGCTCTCATGCACTCCTTCACCGACGCCGTCGCGTCGGACTCGCACGAAGCGCTCGGCTTCCCGAGCGCGGCGTATGCTGTTAGTAAGGCGGGTGTGATTGCTGCGTCTATGGCTATTGCGCGGTGGGAGGTGCAGAGGGCTAAGGAGGAGGAGGGGGAAGGTGGTGGAGGTGCGAGGGGCGTACAGGTTTGTTGTCCCGGGTGGGTGGTGACGGATATGACGAAGGGGAAGGGGGTGAAGGGGGTGGATGAGGGGGCGCGGACGCCGGTTTGGTTGGCGTTGGGGAGGGAGGGCGGGGAGAGGGTGGGGAGGGGCGAGTTTTGGCGCGATGAGAGGGTCGTGGAGTGGTAGGTGGTCTTCGTAGTTTGCTTGGTGGGATGTGTAGTTTGTGAGTGTGTGTGTGCAAATGCTACGTTTTTGAAATGGAGATGCTCCGAGATGTGGCTGTGGGGAATACGGGTTTGGGATTTTATTTTCGTGTCGAGTGAGGGCCGCTTAGGAACATTCTCGGTGTGTATGTGATGCGTGCTGTGTTGGAGCTATCAGAACAACCGTAGATTTTGCTCAGAGCTGGCCGATTCCTACTCCATATATGTACTTGATGTCTACGTTGTCAGACATATGGCTTTTTGCCTGCAACGACCTTCAGTGTACTGTCATACTTCTACCGGTCCACCAGATGTCTAAGCATGATAACGTAACGGCATACAATTTTGTTTTAGAAAAATACACCGCACCATCAGCCAAAATCATCGCTGTTTGAAATCCTTTCATTAGTTTCAGACGGCAAGGTAGGAGGACAAGCAACTTTTCGTACATTCCGAGGGCAGCTCCGCTACTTTACTTGAGATGTATCACGTTGCAACGAGCTCCCTGCGTCGCGATCCAAACTACTACAAAAGATACACATGATATCATTCTCGGCTGGCGGCGCCAGGTGAAATCTTTCCAGTATGAACCTTCCTTCCCGACCGATGCAAGTCTTTTCGCCACCAACGCGCACCCAGCTCTCGCATAAGACTTGACCCTCTCGAAACAAGCTTTATGTGTATATCCGACAAGCTCAACCAAAAGGGGAAACATTCGCCACGGTCCTCTCCATTTCCACCACAACCCTTGAGCAAGCTTCCACGCCGAGAGGCCTTCTCTCGACGAAGCTCCATATGACCCGTCGGAGATTAGTTTTTTACAAGCTCCGCCGGAGTTAAAACCTGGATGAGGAGCTGTGGAGCGGAGAACACGCCGTTGCGCGAGCGAAGCTCGGGGGTGCCCGTAATGAGGGTGAGTGCGTCATCGACTTAGGCTACACCGTGTTGAATACAGATAGAATGACCTTATCGAGAGCCGGTGCTGCTGTATAGTTGATTTCGATCGTCCATACCCGTAGGGGTCGAAGGGATTATTGGCCAGCCTCTAAGGAGCAACGAGTAATGCCTTGTCAAGTTCTCCTTTAGAGGTTAAGGCGGAGTGTATTTTTTTATGGGTCTCAATTTTCATCTACCCACTGTTGTCTGAGCGTTGCATATTCATCTGCGGCTTGGTTTTCAACACCTATTTACAGTATTCCCCTGAAGTCACCATGACTTGTTTCTACTGATACTATTATACTTGTTGTAAGATTGCCCTACAAACTCACCAACAGCCTCTTCCGAGCTCCTGATATAATCAAGCACATGAACCTCGGTTTTCACTATTCAATTTACTCATACAGAATTCTTCAAGACAGAAGAGAAAGCTTGACCCTTCAACGTAGTCTACACCTTAAGGCAAAGTTTCTTGCTTCCTGATTCTCCTCCTCGACTACGGCGTCTTCTGATACGCGGCTTCCGCTTACCTGGGACATCGAAACCATGGTGTCGTGCTGACGGATTTGCCACCGGCCACCTCTACCATGCTTGGAGTTTGTACGCAGTTCCCGTCGCCTCTCATGTTCAGTCTACGAGCGCTATCTGAAACGCCTGCCTTGCAATTTCGTGCCACGCTGCGCCTCAGTGATCAAGCCAAGGGCGGAATCACTGCTCACTGGTTTCCCATCATGCTAGTGTCGAGGCACAAGATCCTCCACTACTCAAGACCTAGTTGTTTCGGCACGCTTGGAAATTTTGCTGCCCTCCCCCTCCCTTCCTCCTTTTCCTGAAGATGAACCTGCGGAAGGATCAATGCCGAGTTGTTGAGCGTCGGCTCGGATCTCCCAGTATCAAGACGGATTCATTCTCAAGTATTCTTCTCTTCTTCCTCGCTCTTGGTTCCGTTATCTTCGTTGATATAGCCGTCAACGGTCAAGAGAAGCCATCCACCGCTTCACATGCAAGTTCGCTGAAGAGAAACCGAGAACGGGAAGGAAATCGTAATGATGCTTTCCGGGGACAATTCCTGCAGTAATGAGCATGCGTCAGCTTTTCGTGAGCACTGAAGGATAGCGCAAGGGTAATCCCATGCATAGTAGCCTTTGTAGGCACGGCGGTTGGACGGGTTGCGGAGCATCAACGCAGGGATGGGAAGTCGACGGGGGACAGTCGTATTCGATGTTACAGCACCGAAGAAGCATCCTTGTGACAGCTCCAGCCTACCGCCCAGGCATTGTTTCCTGCACGCTGTGGTATCCGCACATATCACTCCGCTGTGTGCTGTGAAAACAACCTGGCCGTCCGTCTGAGTGTCGAGCCGTCGCCGTTCGCCAGCCGATGATGCTACCACGGTACGGCGTCTTCGTGTGCTGTGCCGGCATGCTCGTTGTTTCCACTGTGTTTACTGTGTCTGTCGTGTCTGCTGTCTGCTGTGTCTGCTGTGTCTGCTGTGTCTGCTGTGTCTGCCGTGTCTGCCGTGTCTGCCGTGTCTGCCGTGTCCGTCGTATCTGCCGTATCTATAATCTGTCATCACAACAAGCGGCCAAGGACGCCCATCATATGCGCGGGTATGTTTCACATACCTATCTGAAGCTTATCCTTTGCAACTGCGACAGCACATTGGGGTTGCTGCGCCAGAGCTCGGATCCAAAAGGCGCATGGCAGACGGGCTGTACTCTTAGCGGCGCCCTTCGTCTAGGATGGCGTAGGCAGTAAGCGCCGCCTTGGATCAGCTGCGGATGAGGGGCTCACAAAGCAGCCGTTCGAGTGAGGTGAGTCGGCACTTGCGCTGTAATGTCGAAGTGTGGAAGGAGTAGTAGCGGCTATGAGCGGCAAGGGAGCTGTCGGTTGTAGCGGACCACGGGTACGCGAAAGGCTGCTCGTAGAAGTTCTACAGCGTTTTCAGACCCTCGAGGCCATCCGATGCGCTGCTATGGTGGGACTTCGATCGTGTGCGATGTTGGGACGTAGCTGGCGACCGCGTTGCTGGACAGGCGTACACCGCGCGGGCGCGCAGCACAAGAGGACGTGACGCGCTTCCATGTCGCAAAGTGCGTTCAGGCAGGATACCTTGTCATAGATGCACAAATGCGCAGAGGATATGAGCGTTTTAGAGCAGCGCGCAGGGGCGTGGTGGTTAGGTGAAGGACCGCGGTCGCGGAAGCTCATCGCCGCAGCCGAACGTCGCGATGCACCACCATACGCAACAAGGAGCTGGTCGCGCTTACTACCCGCCATATTAGTTGCATCTCATCGCTGAATGCCGACCGCTATCTCCAAGGCACCGCTGCGCTGCGCTGAGACGTCGGCCACTCACCAAAAGCAGATAGCTCTCTTCCTCAAGTACCGGCACAAGGCCAGTAGCAAAACGAAAAGAAGGTTCGCATCAGCTCCAGACAGTGCAATAAGAGCGACACTGTGCCAATGGGAGATGAGCGAAGCTCAGTTCAGCTCCCACCAGCTGGTTCGAAAAATAAGATTAATCAAAAAAGCCCCCGTAGGGGCGGTTTAGAGATTAAGCTAAACAGAACAGCCACTTCACTTGATCTAAGCCAAAAGGCAAAGAGAGCTGAAGAAGAAAAGAAGAGTCGGAGGTCGAGGGGCGGAGGGGTTTATAAGGGACGGTGGACGGAGGCCATTGATCCGGCGCGCGTGATCGCTCTGCCAGGGCAACGACCCGACTAAGCCTAAAGGAGAGAGCGGTGGAAGAAAAGGGAAGCCGCCGGGCCTGCACTGGCCACGGGGCCCGCGTCTGCGTGGGTGATTTCTCTGTGAGACTGCCCTTCTGAGCAGGTTCCATCACCGATGAGATCACACTGCCTCGGTCTCGCATTACGTGTGGGTGAAAAGGTCGGGATGGATGGACGCGTCACGCGGACGGCGCAGGACACTTGTGGGGCTCACTTTCTGGCTACAACACAGTGGCGGCTGAGACGTCTAGCTGAACGATCTATTATGCTGCTGAGGGTTGGCATGTCTCCTTGAAGAGCAGAAATCCCACCACTTCACAGCGCCCTACACGATCTGGGCCGTTTGGGCAGCCAATCTCTCGAAAGAAGCCTCTTTGGACCGTCTACGCCGTCTCCTATGCCGCCTGCCTCGCCAAAGTCTCCGTCCCTACGACCTTCGCCCGCAACTCTTCCGCAATCGCCTGGCGCGCCTGCGTCTACGGCCGCCACCCGATCCGCAAGATCTGTGCGTATAGAATGACCGCGCTGCGCGGTGATCCCGAACATCGGGAGCGGGGAGCGCTGCCACTTGAGAATGTGGTCGAAGTCAAAAAAACGCGCTGGAGGCACGACACATGTGTGATGACGCGCTACTCAGTTTCTCTCCGCCGGAGCGCACAGAGTTGGCGTGAGGATTGGGTACGCAGTCAGGTCTACAAGTAGTTTCTGGAGGGGACCCCGCGCCGGGTCGCGCATGTTGCGATACTACTCTCAAGCATATCAGGCGTCCGTGACCCTTGCTGGGCGTGAGGGGTTTTGTTATTGGCGTTGACCGTCGGCAGTGAAATCTTATCCCCGGATGCGCACAATGAGGACACAATGTTGCATTGGTAGACTAGGAGAACAACTCTGCATAGTTGGTTTCTTTTGTTTTTCGTAAGGCTTGCGTCGGGCGCAACTGACATACCTACACCACGAGGCTTCCTGTTGGAAGCTCAGGCTGTCGGCAGTGACGCTTGTTAAGTGCTGGCATGAACACCGCTGCATGACAACGCGACAGCCCAAGGGCTATTTCGAGTCAGATTCCATTTCGTCAGCCGCAAGAACGGCCTCTGGTTGTATGAATGTGCTTGTAAAACATCGCGCGGAACTCTTCCTCAACCAAGCCTGAACTGTTCTTCCACAATTCTGAAGTCTTAACGAATTTGTGATACTTCATGCAGTTTCCTTGCGTTTAAGATCTCGTTTCACTAAATTCAAACTTGCGTTCAGCTTCCTGAATCATTGAGCTGGCTCGCAGCAGGCTTTCCTCTCACATTACTGAAGCCACAGATTCATGATCGTAACCCCTGGTGATGATATATGGTCGTCAATATAGTGAAGAGAAGTTCTATCGTCATACCAAAGCGGCGGACTTTTATCCGAAACTGATTGCCGTCCCCGCGTTCCTTCGGTGTGCAATACCCCGCACGCCCGGCCGGCGGCAGGTTGCGGCTCGTCCTGAGTCAAGTCCAGCGATCAGCAAGATGCACTATACTCTGTTCATGCGAGGCACCGAAAATGACATAGAGTATATATTAGCCGCTGCGCGAGCTGCCTGCCTTGCTTTTGGCGGCGCTTGCTGAAAACTTGACTACGGGCCTTTTCTCCAAGACGTCGCGCCGACCCGTCGTCCCCCGCTTATGGTGACCGGTAATTGATTGACCTCGAGCGTCAAAGACAATGTCAAGAAAGAGCATGGGAAGAAAGCTGGCTACGGCCGCAGCAGGTCTCATATGGTGGACGGGTGCCGAAGCACGGCTTACAGACTTTGTGGATCCTCTGATCGGAACGGTGGGACCAACGCCAGGCTCGACCATTGCCGGAGGCAATTCGTTTCCCGGCGCAGCTTTGCCATGGGGAATGGTGAAAGCGGGCATTGACACCAGCTACCTTGGCCTTCCAGAAGGCCTGGGAAACGATTGCAATGCTGGCTACAGTCCGATCGGGAACGTAACGGCCGTGAGCTTGACCCACGTCAGCGGCACCGGAGGAGTACCAACGTGTAATTCCCTCCTGATCGATAGAGCCCAGTCACATCCCAATCACACTGACATTGCAACCAACAGATGGCCTCATATCTCAGATGCCCCTCCTCGGCAGCCTCGAAGGCATCAACCTAGCCGACAACACGACATACTGGCAAAACCGCTCCCTCGACCTCGAATCCGCCTCCGTCGGCCACTTCTCCACAACCCTCCTCAACGGCATCAAAATCGACATCACATCATCCAACCACACCGCCCTCATCCGCTACACCTTCCCGCCCGCCTCCTCATCCCCCAACACCACCACCACCATCCCCACCGGCTCCGCCCCCACCACGCCATCGACGCTTGCCAATACCGCCCACATCCTCATCGACCTCACGCACGTCCTCCCCGCCTGGGACGCCGACGCGCAGTCCTACTCGCAAAAATTCCTCTCAGGCGCGCTGTCGCTGCGCTCGCAATCGTACTCGGGCACCGCCACCTACACCGGCGGCTGGTCGCAGCCCGACACGCACACCCTGCACTTCTGCGGCAACTTCAGCAGCGCGGCGTCGACGGCGGCGGAGGCAGGTACGATCAGTTGGCCGTACAGCCCGACGGTGCCGCCGCCGGACGCGCCGGTCGTGCGGCCGTATGCGGATGTGAGGGCGTCGGCGGGGTCGGGGATGGGGGTTGGTGCGGTGTTTAGTTGGGAGTATGGGGGGGCTGATGGTGGGGGGAATGCGAGTGCGGGTGCGGGGGTGGTGGTCGAGGCGCGGGTGGGGGTGTCGTATGCGAGTCCGGAGAGGGCGTGTCGGTATGTGGAGGAGGAGTTGCCGGCGGGGGTGAGGTTTGAGGAGGTGGTGGAGAGGGCGAAGGGGGAGTGGGAGGAGAGGGTGTTGGGGAGTGTGGTTGTGGATGAGGAGGAGGAAGGTAGAGCCAATGAGACGTTGAAACGGATGCTGTATTCGGCGTTGTATCAGACGGGGCTGATGCCGACGGATAAGACGGGGGAGAATCCGTGGTGGGGGGCCGAGGCTGGAGAGGAGCCGTATTTTGATGATCACTACGTAAGTCGTTCGACCGCGCTGCTGGATGGCAAGAGAGGAGAGAGATAGAGAGGGAGGATGAGCTTTCGCGATCGGGCGACACCCAGAGCCGCGAGCACTGACTGACAGCCACGTCCCACAGACGCTCTGGGACACCTACCGCACGACCCTCCCCCTCTACCACCTCCTCCACACCCCGACCTACACCCGCATCCTCCACGGCCTCCTCAACATCTTCCGCCACGAAGGCTACCTCCCCGCCGGCCGCACCGCCAACTGGAACGGCCGCGTCCAAGGCGGCACCCACGCCGACACCGTCTTCGCCGACGCCTTCGCCAAATCCGTCATCGGCGGCCCTCCGCCAGGCACCAGCAACAACAACAGCACCACCACCACCACCTCCTCCCTCCCCCTCAACGAGCTCGCCCTCTCCCCCACCGACTGGGCCGACGCCTACGCCGCCCTCGTCAGCGACGCCTCCGTCCCGCCCGCCCGCAACGCCGACCCCGTCGCCTTCGACGGCGCGACAAAGGAAGGCCGCGGCGCGCTGGACGAGTGGCGCGCCCTCGGCTTCCTCACGCGCAACCACACGCGCAGCCTCAGCCGCGGCGTCGAGTACGCGCAGAACGACTTCGCCGTGTGGAGCGTGGGCGCCGGCCTGCTGGACAACAACAACACGACGGATGGCGGCGTCGTCGTGGATGCGGACGACGTCGCGACGTGGCGGCGGAGGGCGGATTGGTGGGTTGGGCAGTGGAATCCGGATGCGGAGGCGGAGCTGGAGGGGGTGGGGACGTTTAGGGGGTTTGTGGGGGCGCGGGATGCGGATGGGCGGTGGAATTTGACGGATTATGATCCGCGGAGCTGTGGGAAGTGTGGGTGGGGGAGTGATATATACGAGGCGAAGGTTTGGGAGACGAGTTTCGCGGCGGCGCCGCATGATATGGCGAAGGTGGTGGAGCTGATGGGTGGGGACGAGGGGTTTTTGAGGCGGCTGGATGCGAGCTTTTTGCCGGGATTTGGGACGAGTGTGGGTGCGAATAATGATGCGGGGAGTGCATTGTTTAATCCTGGTGAGTCATCCTTGCGTACGGCAGGAGGAAGTTGGGCGATGGTGAGAGGGAGGAACTGACTGACGTATATTGCAGGGAACGAACCTTCGTTCGCAACTCCTTTCCTGTACAACTACGTGCCGGGGAACCACTGGAAGACAGTCAACCAGTCTCGCGCTATTGTGGACACCTTCTACAGCGATGCGCGGAATGGCTATCCGGGCAATATTGATAGCGGCGCTCTCCCGTCCTGGCTCATATTCAACCTGATTGGCTTCGTAAGTGATGCTCAGCAATTGCCCAGTGCTTGTTCTTGCCCGACTTCTTCTCCACAGTCAGGCATGACAACATGGACTAACAGCTTCCACAGTACCCCATTGCCGGCCAGCCACTCTACCTCCTTGGCACTCCACGCTTCTCCTCGCTAACTTTGAAGCTCTTCGGTGGAACTCCACATGCGACACGGTTGCAAATCCAGGCTGTCAACATGACAGTCACATCCTTCTACCCACAACGCGTTACACTGAACGGAGTTGCTCTCGACCGAGCGTGGCTATCACACGCGGAGATAGCAAAAGGTGGGAAGCTCGTGTTCGAAATGGGTGCGGAGCCGGCGAAGTGGGACGTGGGCGACCGGCCGTGGTCACTGAGCTCGTGGTAAGAGACACAGGGGCTCGATGATTCCGCTCACCTCAGACTCCAGGTAGTGAAGATAGGCAAAAAGAAAAATTCAGATGCACACTATCAATATTTGACACCGCGAATCCATTCCGGGCGAAAAAAGAACAACACACTTGGCACCAGGAGAAGGTCCTCAGGGAAAAAGACAAAAAAGAAAGGCTTGCAACCAGTCTGGGACTGGTAAGGACTTCATATTCCTTGCAGCTTCTGTGGATCGAACACAGTACCTCCAGATACCGCACAGATGATGCTGTTGGCTGAAGTGGACTTCAGTCTGGTGGGATGTTAGTGATGAGTTGAGAGGGCGCAAGAGTCGTAGAGGGGTACTAACCTGGCGCTCTCCCAAGTGAGCTAAAGCTGCTGATTGGATGGTAGTAAACAATCATGGCAAGTCCCCTTATCTTCGCTGTCAAAACTGCAGCTTGCAAAACGCGACGTCGAAGGTTGCGGAGTGCGGGATGTGGGCCTCGGGATGTGTGAAGCGAGAGAGCAAAAAATTTCCGGCCCGACACTTCGGCTTCTGCCGGGCCACTTGAGCTTTCACCCCAAGTGGTTTGGAAGAAAGGGCATTTTGAATGATGAGGAAAACTGAACGCTCCATCGTAATAATCGTAGAAATGTATTCTACCGCACTTGTACGATAACAATCGTGGTTCCACCTGTTGGCGGGGCTCGGCCGGGACCCTGGACTTGGGGACCCTGGATCGCGGACCCCTGCTTGTCCGTTTCTGAAACTTCACGTCCGCCCCTTTCTTGCACCACGACATGGTCGGACAGGCAAAACGAGATGCCTCTGCTGTGGAAACAAAAGAAACCGACGTTGACAAGATTCGAACTTGTGCTCCCGAAGGAAACAGATTTCTAGTCTGTCGCGATAACCACTCCGCCACAACGCCTTCGGTACTTGTTGATGAGTTACCACATGGGGAAGCTCCACTAAGATCAATGCCATTTCAGGAAAGAGGAACAACGGGCCAGCAGTGCGTGGAGAGAAGCAGAGCTGTTAATGCTAGTATCTCAAGTTTGGTGTCCAAAGCCCTTGCCTGGACGGTGCGCTTGTAAAACGAATGTCCTTGGGACAGTGTGTGAGCGCTACCAAGCGAGCTGGTCTCCATGCTAATTGGTGCAACGTTAAACACACCTCTGCTTAGCGTTCATTGCCTTTAGAAGAACCAACACTGTGGATAGTCGATCATTTATTCGTGTGCTGCGACATTTCAACAGGTACCCCAGTATTAGAGAGCGTCGATATTGGAGATTTTGCGTTGCGTAAAGCTTTCACAAAAATTCGTATTGTCCATGTAAAAATTATACTCCTGTCCACGTTGATGCTGCTTTTAGAAGAACATCTTTAAAGAATCGGGGCGGGGGGGTATAGTCTGCTCGTTCTATATCTACTCCAAGGCTATTAATTGTTTCCTAGACCGAAACTAAACTTTTCCCAAACATTGCTATCGCCTCAAGACTACTAACTTAATTTTAATGAAATGGCGCCCCAGACTAAGAACATCCCCCATTTCTCCGTGCAGTCATTGCATCAATGATATAGCTAATGGATTTCTCTTCATTAGCGGGAGACATATTGATGCAGATGACGACAAGGCTTCCATTATGGCAAACTGGGAACTCTATGAAGTATGAACAACGATACTCTAGATAAACTCACACCTCCATCGTTAATTTTCTCTTTAGTGCGAAGAGTCAGATGAGGCTCATAGATCAAGAGTTTTGAACACGTTGACTGTCGAACCCGAACAACTGTGTTTTGCCTGATGATGTCTCTTGAGTTGTTGGCCACGCATCACGATCCGGGGCCTATGAATGAAGACTGATGAAGGGAGCCCACAGTGAATGGCGACTTCGCGTCAATCACTCACACCATATTACGCATAACACACTGCGCAGCTGAGACAACCTACACAACGCCCGGGCAAAATATAAAGCCAACCACTGGCAACTTTTCCTTCCTTACCACCATCCAACTCGACTAACCCGACCAGCCCATCCAAAACCCCAAACAATCCACCAGCACCACGACCACCATGGCCAGGCTCACTCCCGGCAAAACCTCAACATCAGCCTCTAACCACAACCCGCCCACACCACACAGCGAATCGAACTTAACCACCACCACCGCGTCCACCCCCGCCGACCCCGACCTAGACACCCCCAGCCGCCGCAGCGCACGCATCGCATCGCTCGCCACCCGGCCCCGAGTAGTAGAAGCCAACCCGCAGCCAAGCACCACGACCACCCCCACCCTCCCCCCGCCGACGCCGTCGTCGACGGCGCCGCCCGCGCCCACCAAGAAGCCGCCCAACAAGGCCCCAGCGCCCACGACCCTGCACAAGCACCGCGAACAGGGAAAGACGCCCGTCACGCCGAAGCGGCGCGCGAAGAGGGAGGCTGCTGCGTTCGCCTCCGCCTCCGCAGAGAAGCCGGCGATGTCGAGGGAAGGGAAGAAGCGCGGCGATGGTGGATGGAGTGGGGTCGCCGTTCCGGTTCGGTCGCTGCCGGCGAAGAAGAAGACGTGCGAGACGGTGGGATCGTCGGTGGTCGGGGAGGAGGAAGAGGTTGGGGAGAAGGTGAGATTCGGTTTCCTTTTTTTTTTTTTTTGCTTTTGTGCTGATAAGGGTGGGGGTTTGCTGACGTTGATGGTAGATGCGACCTCCGTTTGTGAGCAGGAGCCTCTTCTTTGACGACCCGCGGTATACGTTCTTCGATTAGGGAGCTGATGATGCGAAGTGTTGTTGGAGTTCTGGGCTTGGCTGGTATTGAGGCGCGTTGAGCGTGAAGCGGTATGGTCGAGCGCTTCTTGATGTAAAGCTTTGGGATTTGGTATGCTTGAGCAATTGCAATACGGAGTGTAGCAGGCACCATATAGTTTCCACCCTAGGGAGCTGCTCCATTGGTCCACGACACCTTCAGTAGTTTGGCACCAGATACTGTTCAAACAATGAATTGTTTGATATAAGAAGAAGCAACTATCAAAAATGCTAAGTTCTCCAACAAAAACAATTGTGCAACATTGTTGTGTAGTCAAACACGCGCGAAACATAGATGCGCCCTCGAAATCCCCGCACCTCCGCACCACTTTCAAGCAACACTGACACGGAGAAAAGCCTGATAGTCATACTACAAGCTCGATTGACCAGTGCAGGAAGTGTGGTCATCAACCTTCGACGCAACCGCACAGCGACTCTAGCTACAGCAACAAAGCGTGAGAGAGGGTGAAGAGCAGGCAGCGGCGGATGATGAAGGGACCGAGGATGATAGAAGGTACCGCGAGACTATGGCGAACGGGAATTTCGCGAACTTCTTCTTCCCGCCGTACGACGGGACGCTGGCGCCGCTGCCGGAGACTCAGTAGGTAGGCCAACTGGACGCGCGATCTGGTTAAGGGGCGGGGGAAAGGCCCAGGCGGCGGTAGAGGAGGATGAAGGCCAAGGCGAACACAACATCCGCTGTTCCCCTGACGTCGTCAAAGGACAGATCAAGCCTCCCTACTTTCACCGCCCTGATCCTGACATGCCTCAGGGCAACGCCGGTCCTATCTCGGGCAATACGTTTGCTTGTTAGTGGACAGCGGGTTTGCCAGATGACGACGCGGCTCAGCGTGAGCTGGCGCAGCACCGCACCCAGCATGCGCCGAAATCGGCCTGGAAGCTGTGAGATCTTTCTGGTTCGCGGGCTTGTTGTTGTGGTTGAGTTCGAGGTGAAAGGCGAGCGAGTGTTCAAGCTCGAGTACACTGAAGACGGGATGGCTTGAGCAATATTGTTGTCTGTGTGTTTTACTTGCAAGCTGGGAACCAAACGGAGAGACATGGATGGGATATAGCTGTTGTGTTCATCCCTTTCTTGCTGTAGTGTTGCATTCTGCCTCCTCAGCCACAGGCGCCAACAGCATCACGGAAACAGTCGGGCTGCTGGCATTCATGGTAATCTTGATTGGGAGTCTTTTAGGAACCATAAACATGTCATTGAGTATATATGTATCCAAGTCCAAACGCCTGACGTGACAATTTCCTGTGTATCACCGCCCTTTACCAGGTCTTCAACCACTGCTGAACACACTTGGCCACCACCCCGGTCCCAATAACATCCACCCCCTCCCTGATGACCTTGCTCCTCTCCGCCGTCTTCTCCGTCGCAAAAACCAGCCCCTTCCTCCCCGGCCTGTCATTATCATACTTCTCGGCAAAGAAATCCACCAACTTGACCGTCGGATTCTTCATCGGATCCTGCTCGCCCTCCCTCAGCCTCCTCACCCACTCCCTCTGCCCCACCACCTCGAACTCCAGCCCCGCCTCCCTCAACGCCGGCAACAAGTCCTCCGTCCACCTAAACGTCTTCGAATTCTGCACATGATACGCGAGCCCCTCGTCCCCTGCCCGCGCCTCCTCCCCCTCCGCCACCCACTCCCCAAACGACCTCCCCGCCCCACTCAGCTCCACCACCGCCTCCGCGCACCTATCCACCGGCAACCACGCGGGCGTCTCATCCAACATCGGCAACGCACCCACCCCCCTCGCCGCCCTCACCATCAACGGAATCGCCTCCGTCTCATTCCACACCCCCTCCACGCTATCCCCCACAATCTGCCCCGTCCGCAGCACGCGGAACCCCGCGGATCCAGCCCTCTCCCTCGCCCCCCCAACCACATGCTCCGCCACCCACTTACTCCTTGCATACCCCATCCCCTGCGCGTCCTCGGGCCTCTCCACCAGCGCCTCCCGCACCACCGCCGGCGGCGGCGTCCCCGCGCCCGCGGAGACGCTCGACACGAACGCGAAGCGGGCGGGATGCGCGAAGGGCGCGGAGAGCGCCAGACGCAGCAGGTGCGCGGTGCCGGCGATGTGGTGGGCGGCGAAGCTGGAGACGCCGAGGTTGAAGTTGACGGCCCAGGCGGAGTGGATGATTGTGGTGCAGGAGGCGCGGAGGCGGGAGAGGGTGGAGGGCGGGAGGCCGAGGGTGGGAAGGCTGAGGTCGGAGGGGAGGGCGATGAGTTTGGTTGTGAGGAGGGGGGGTGGGGGGGAGAGGTGCCGGGTGCGGAGGGAGGAGAGGATGCGGGAGTGGGCGGCGGTGGGGGTGGGGGCGCGGACGAGGCAGTAGATGGTGGTGATGTGGGGGAGGGGGAGGAGCTGGGCGAGGATGTGGGCGCCGAGGGAGCCGGTGGCGCCGGTGAGGAGGACGGTGTCGGTGGGGGGTGGGGGGGTGGTGCCGGGGACGAAGGCGGGGAGGGTGGCGGTGTATTGGGCGACGAGGGAGCGCATGAGGTCGGTTTCGGAGGGTTTTTGTTGGTGGTGGGTGGTGCCGTTGGCGAGGGCGTCGAGGTGGGCGGTGAGCTGGGCGATGGAGGGGTGCTCGAAGACGACGTTTTGGCCGAGCACGGCGCCGGCGAGGTCGAGTTCGCGCTGCATGTGGCCGCGGGCGGAGATGGACTGCAGGCTGTCCATGCCTGCGGCGAAGAAGTCCGTGTCGGGTGCGAGGGTGGCGGCGAGGCCGACGCGGTTGGCGAAGAGGTCGGCCAGGTAGGATTGTAGGCTGGCGGCGTCGAGTTTGCGCTTCGTGACGCCCTCGCCGGACTCGAAGCGCGTGTAGACGGCGTCGATGAGGTCGGCGAAGACCTTGTAGCAGGCGGCGCGGATCATGGTGCCCTTGTCGGTACGCGGGTAGTCGGTGCCGTATGGCAGGATCTCGACCATCTCGCGTGCCACTTGGCCAAACTTCTCCGCCCGCGCATTCGCAGTCTTTAGTGTCGGCTCCAGTGTATCCAGCAGTTGCTCCTTGGGCATACCTGCCGCCTTCTCGCTCGGAATGACCAGCAGGCCAGGGAACGCGCGGCCGATGCCGAACACCAGGGCGTCCTGGACGAGCTCGTGCTGGCGCACCTGGTGCTCGTACGGGATAGGCAGTACCTTCTCGCCGTTCATCAAAGTGACGCGGTCGTCCAAGCGGCCCAGGTACTTCCACGCGTCGGGAATGGACGGGTGCGGCACGAAGGTATCGCGGGTGCGGAAGCAGTTGGGCCACGGGTCGTCGGAGTTGGAGATGACCTTGGACGGCAGCCCGTCCAGCACCACACATTCAAAGATGCCTGGGCCGACGTCGACGAAGCGCAGGTACGGCGCCACCTTGGGCAGCGGCCGCACGTAGTTCCACGCCTTGTCCGACTCCGGGTCGCGGAACGACGTCATGAGCTGGCCCATTTCGGTGCTGTAGTCGACGGTACGTCAGCAAGAGACAGGAAAGGAGAGAGAGAGAGGGACAAAGAGAATTCCAGGAGAACATACGCCCCATAATGACCCACAACATACACCCCCCTCCGCACCAGCTCATCTCCCAGCTCATCCGGACAGCTACTCCCCCCAAACAGCACCAACCGACACCTCCGCAACTGCTCCACGCCCTCGTCCGTCTCAGCCAGCACCTTCAACGCATACGGCACGCAGTGAAAGCTCTCCGCATCCGCCGCCCCCATCGCCTCCACCAGGTTCGCATTCGTCAGCGGCAAGCTCGCGTTGAACAGCACCGTGCGCTTCCCGCTGACGATGCCGCGGAACGTGGTCGCGAGCCCGTGGTTGTGGAACAGCGGCAGCGTCACGAACGCGCGCATGCCCGACCCCAGCGCGTAGTTGGACAAGCACGCGCGGTGCGTCTGGAAGATGGGCTTCGGCAGCCCCGTGCTGCCCGAGCTGTGCACGATGAAGGCGACGCACTTTTCCTCGTCGACGAGCTCCGTGCGCCGGACGAAGCGCGCGGTGCCGGCCGTGGTGGGCGGGCGGCCGCCCGGCGCGTACACGGCCTTGTCGAGCTGCGGGAACGATTCGATGGCGTGGTTTTCGCCCGACGCTCGCTGGATGTCCGCGACGGTGGTGCTGGCGAACCGCGCTGACGCGACAATCTTGGTGCATTTGGTCTTTTGCAGCAGCGAGACGTAGGCTTCGGTCGGGAGCCGCGTCGACAGGAAGAGCACGGCGAAGCCCATGCGCGAGAGCGCGAGGAGCGTGATGACGTAGTCGAGGTTGGACGGGCCGAGGAGCGCGACGACCTCGCTGCGCGTGCTGCGACGTTCCTGCGATGGGAGGGGGCGGTTAGTGGCGGGCTGGTTTGGAGTGCGGGATCGGGATGGGGGAGGATGCACTTTTGGCAGCAGGCCCAGCCGGGTGTACTCTTTTGCGGCTTCATCGACGAAGGCATCGAGGTCTTTTGCTGTGTACTCTGCTAGATCGCTACTGCTGTGTTCCGAGGATGGGTACGCAATGAGTGGCGTGTTGGGTATCGTTTCGGCCTTGTGGAGAAGCAGGTCGTTGATGCTGTTGATCTGGTCCGGCTTCAAGACCTTGGACGCATTTGGTGCATCCAGGCCCGAGGGAGCGGACGTGGTAGAGACCAACATGATGTGCCGAGTTGGTCGTCGAAAGGCCAAAAGAGTGGTGGTATGGGGGAGGAGATGTGCTGTGTGTTGTTTTGGAGTATAAGAGTACCAGATGCACACGGTCTCACAAACCACCAGTGTAGGATTCTACTTCGGTACTTGGCATTGAAGAAGGCTTTGAGCCCTGGACTCGTGGTGGAGAGGTGGGGAAATGTGCGGAATCGGAGAGCTTTTCCGACCATCGGATACCGCGAACATGAGACGGATAAGGGAAAACTTGCCGCCTGAGCGGAAAACATCCGCCCAGCCGATGCCGAAATACCAACCAAGCAGAGACTACTAGCGGAAGCCCTGTGGCTCAGCGCATTATCATTTCCACACTATGGACTCAGGCGACCTCGTCAGCGTCCATCATAGATATACACAAAGCGTGATGGTAAAGGCAGGTTCCAAAAGCCAGAACCCAACCCTTATCCTCAAGCAATCCCGCTCAACTCCCCTCCCAGATCCAGATCCCATCCAGCCGCACTATCCGCCAGCAGGCTCTCCAAACTCCCAATGCCTCCAACAACCTACCACACTGTTAGCTGCGGACTCCCAAGAACAGGTAACGGACGACGACAAGAAAAAAAGAGCGAGAAAAGAAAAGAAGACAAGACCCACGCATACTTACCAACGAATCAAACTGGCCCCACCCCGTCATCTGCGCAATCGAACTACTCGGGCTCGCCTCCGCAAACGCCGCACCACCATCCAGCCCTTGCTGCTGCCCTTGCTGCTGCTCCTGCCGCTCCCCGCCCACAAACACCATCTCCTCCCCCAACACCCTGTCCGACGCCGGCGGCTGTGGCAGCGACGCAGCATCACCACCACCAACCGCCCCAACCGCCCCACCCAACCCCACACCCGATCCACCTGATCCACCACCACCACCTCCTCCTTGTCCTTGAAGAGGAAGCAAAAGCCCCTCCTCCCCACCCGGCGGCCTGCCATTCAACAGCTCCATCCGCAGCTCCTGCAGCACGACGCCGTACCGCTCGCCCAGCGACCCTTTGGTCGCGATGCGCGAGATCTGGTCGTGGCAGCGGGACGCCGCGCGGTAGCAGGCGGATGCCGATAGTGGCGGTTGGTCGGCGGAGGTGGCGGTGGCGGCGAGGAGGTGGCGTGGGTGTTGTTGTTGCTGTTGTTGCTGTTGGATGGTGTAGACGTAGAGGACGACGACGGCGGAGAAGGCGAAGTAGTGCGTGAACTGCGTGTGGTGGTTGGTCAGCGGGCTGCGGGACGGAGGGAGGGAGGAAGGGTGGGAAGGTCAAGACGGGGCGGACGCACCCAGAATGTGCTGTAGATCTGATTCGACCGGGTGAGTTCGTCGACGACGCGGACGATGTTTGTGGCGGCGTCGAGGCAGAGCTGGACGTGGTAGGCGAGCTTGCTGTTGTTGTTATTGGTGCGGTGCAGGTTGTAGCTTGTGAGGCCGGCGAAGTTGCTGAGGAGGAAGGGGCGGTGGACGAGGATCTGGGCGTGCCAGAAGGCGAGGTTGAGGACGTTGCGTTGACGCAGGAAGATGGGGAGGAAGAGGGATGGATCGACGCCGTCGGTGTCGAGGAGGTAGGCGACCGAGGCGCGCCAGCTGTTGAGCTCGTCGTTGTACTTGGCGGCGAGGCGATAGCGGTCTTCGGTTGAGGGCGGTCGGATGCCGTAGAGGTCGCGGAGTATGTTTGCGAGTATTCGTGAAAACCTGGGGGCGTGTTGGACACGGGCTACTGCGATATGGGGAAGTAGCGTACCTCATGTGCGCAATACACCCGGACATCAAAGACTGTGACTTGACAGGCGAAGGGTGCATGTGTCGCTGGTGCAGATCTGAATCATTGACACAGGTCGGAAATTCCTGGATCAGGTTAATCGGCTGTAGGGATGCGACATTAGCTAAGGCACGTACGTACCTGGTCAATGTCTTCATCATGAAACGTCCGCGGCCGTCCCAGAGCAGCGCTCAGATAGGTGTCGAGGTTATATGCGCACCAGAACGTCCTCTTCCTGCATTCCAGGTCGATGTAATCGACGCTGTGTGCAGAGTCCATCCGCCGCTTCCTGTGCATACCCAAAGCAAGCACAAGATGCGCCGTCGTCCCAAACAGACTCCAACAATGATTGATCCGCGACTGTCCCAGCAGCCACAAGCACTGCGCAAGCCGGGCCTGCACGCTGGTCAGACGAATCCCCCCCTTCTCCGCTACAAGCTGGCGCTCGGCCGCAGAGAAGAAGCTCGCACTGTCACCGCATTAGACTCAACAGCCCACTCAACAGCCCAAGACAGAAGACACCCACCTCGAATACTCCCTCCCCGCCATGCCGGGACACTGATAATTCCCCGCCTGCGCAAACACCATAAACAGCAACGCCAGCCGACTCCTCGCCGCCGCCTTCTCCCTCATCGCGCCATTCGTCTCGTACACCTCCCGCAAGCAGCCCTCGACCGTCGGGCGATGCAAGAACCTGTGCGTGGCGGACGCGAAGTCAAAGTAGCGGGCCAGCAGCCACTCGGCGTCCTTTTGCGGCGGCAGCACGAAGAAGCCGTGCTCGACGTCGTCGGCGTCGGGCAGCGGCAGGTCGCCGAAGGTGAAGATGCTGGACGCCTCGGCACCGCCGCTGCACGACTGCTGCATGAGCCCGCTCTGCTGCCGCAGCAGCTTGCGCTGGATCCGCAGCAGGAAGGAGGCGCCTGAGGCGGGGCCGACGTAGTGGCCTTGTTGGTCGGATTGGCTGGGTTCCGGCGAGTTGCGTGAGGATTGCGCGGTCGAGGTGGCGCGGGCGGAGTGCTGGGGCTGGTGTGGGGCTCGTGGCTGGTCGCTGGCGTCGAGGCGGTCGGGATGCTCGATGCTGACTGGGCTGGGGATGGTGGTGGTGGTGTTGTTTATCCCCGCGACGGCGGCGGCGGCGGAGACGTCTTCGGCATCGGGACGAGGGGAGGCGAGGTGGTTGCCGTTGTTTGCGGTGTCCTGGATGACGGAGGAGCTGTGTCGCCGCATGTGGTAGTCTTGGTGAGGCGGGATGGCGGTGGCCATCTGCAGCACACGGTTGTCGGTCTCGAGCTCGATGGAGGGTAGCCTGCCGCGCGTGTAGGCGGCCTCGTATTGGCAGGCGAGGCCGAGCTGGGAGCAGAGCGTACACGGGTACTTGCCCGAGCATCGTGTCTTGCGTCTGTGGCGGTGGCAGCCAGCGTGGATTCACGCCATGTCTCTGGTCAGAAGAGAGCATGTTGCTGTATTGGGAGGGATCAAGCAACAAGAGACCACTCACGACTTGCATCGATCGCATGCCCTGCTGACTCGACTCCGGACGTGGCTGATGTCCTTGCGCCGCTTGGCTGGTCTGTCATCCGGAGACTGCCCACTCGGGCTGCGGCGTCCATTGCGACTGATTCCTTGTTGCGGTTCAGTGGAGCTCTGCAACGGGTCGGATGGGACCATGCCGATCCCCGGCGAAGACGGTCGACGAACGGCCATGGTCGATGCTGGAAAAGCGGACTCAACGGCAGACGCAGTGCTGAGAAGCGCCAAAAGTGGGCCGATGGGTGTGCGTGAGAGGCCGGAAAAGGTCCAAGGCAAATGGCCCGGGAAAGCGAGGCTTTAGTAGGCCTTTTCCGGGAGTTAGTCAGCGGCGCCCTACCCCGCACTTGGTCTTATCCGGGGCGTGGCGTAGCGGCTATTATTACCCTGCGAACCCTTAGCTTAGCTTCAAGACAGGAAGGAGCCGGCGTGTGCCGGTGCATGGGCAAGTGGTTGCGTGTCCGGGCCGCCGTGCCGAGCTTTGAGGTGAAGATTCATGACTTATGAAGCCATTGAGACATGTCTCAAAGTAATATCACGAGATGCAGTAGTGTACAGAAATCCCGCTCTATTCTATTCGTCCATTCATGCAGCTCTACGCTGCTGCAGCCTGCGCCTTGAGCTTTCTTTGTGCAGCCACCCAATCAGAGACGCCCTTTTTCAACGTCTCTTCATCATGCTCGCCAAAGACATTGACACCCAGCCTGATGGGGAAGTTGTACCTATGATTCCGATCCAGCGCCGTGATCTTATCAAACGCCTCCTTGGGCAGCTCAAAGTCCTGGAAATTGCTCTCGATCCTGGCGGGCGTGACGCTCTTGGGCACGACGATGGTGCCGCGCTGCACGGCCCACTGCACCAGCACCTGGGCGGGCTCCTTGCCCAGGCCGCGGGCCACGTCGACGACGACGGGATCGTCGACGGCGCGCGGCAGGCTGTAGATGTTGTTGCCGAGCGGCGAGTAGGCGGCGGTGACGATGCCTTTGCTCTTCTGCCACTCGAGCAGGGCGGGCTGCTGCAGGTACGGGTGCGCCTCGATCTGGTTGACGGCGGGCGGGATCTTGGCCGTCTGCAGCAGCTCCTCGATGGCGGCCCGCGTGAAGTTGCTCACGCCGATGCTGCGGACCTTGCCCTTGGCCACCAGCGCCTCCATGGCGCGCCACGTGTCGGCAATGGGCACGTCGATGACGTGCACGGCCTCGGTGGCCGGGTTGATGGGGAAGTGCTGGTAGAAGTCGGCGCCTTTGACGAAGGAGATGGGCCAGTGGACCTGGGGTGGGTGTGAGTGTGTGCACGTGTCAGCGGGAGAGGCAACTGGCGCGTACGAGGTAGAGGTCGACGTAGTCGGTGCCGAGGTCCTTCAGGGAGTGGTCCAGGGCTTCCTCGACGTCTTCGGGCTTGTGGTGCGTGTTCCATAGCTTGCTGGTGATGAAGATGTCGCTGCGGGCGACGCCCGAGGCGCGGATGCCGTCGCCCACTTCGTTCTCGTTGTCGTAGACGGGGGCGGCGTCGATGTGCCGGTAGCCCAGCTTGAGGGCGGTTGCGACGGCGTTGGCGACCTCGTTGGGGCCCGACTGCCAGGTGCCCAGGCCGACAACGGGCATGTCGTAGCCCGAGTTGAGCTTGAAGGTGCGGTTGGAAGACATTTCTGGGGACGGCGCTTGCGCAGTGCGAGCGAGTCGAGCGGGCGTAGCTGCTTTAAGCTCCAATTGCGACTTCCCTAGAGCAGAATCGCTGAGCTCGGGACAATGTTGCCATGATTTGCCCCGCTTTTCCGACGTCGGAGAGGTGGGCGGGGGCGGGGCTGTTTTCCGACCCGCCACCAAGCACGACACCGCCCTCGCATCCCACCTAACCCCCAGCTTGCCCCGCGCCAATTGTGGATCCCCCGGGAGAATGAGGCACGACGATGCGCAATCGGCTGCCCCGCGCCCTGCTGCCTCACGCCATACATAGCGCGCAACAAAACCGCCTTCGTCGCGACACCTCTCCCTTCTCCCACCACGCGCGTACTCACCGTCTTCCAACCAGCAACAGCCAGCCGCCATGGCCTCCGCACGCATCCCCCCCGACGGCGTCTTCGTGCCCGTCCCCACCTTCTTCAAGCCCGCCGCGTCGTCGACGTCGCTCCAGGCCGCCGTCGACGTCGAGACCCAAGTCGCGCACTCGGTGCACCTCGCCCGCAGCGGCATCACCGGCCTCGTCCTCCTCGGCAGCACCGGCGAAGCCATCCACCTCTCCCGCAGCGAGCGCCGCGACTTCCTCTCGGGCGTGCGCAAGGGTCTCGACGCCGCCGGCTTCCCCGACTACCCCATCATGGCCGGCGTGCTGACCAACAGCGTCGACGAGGTGCTGGAGTGGCTGGACGACAGCAAGGACGCCGGCGCCCAGTGGGGACTGGTGCTGGCGCCGGGCTATTTCGGGGGTGCCGCGACCCAGGAGAATCTGGTCGAGTGGTATAGGCTTGTTGCGGATAGGAGTCCGCTTCCGATACTGATGTGAGTGAGATGGAGGAGGAGACGCGGGAGAGGGCAGAGCGGAGAGCCCGCGTGCTGACGATTGGATCGATCCGTGGCAGATACAACTACCCCGGCGTGACCAACAACCTCATCGTCGCACCCGAGACGTACGTGAAGCTCGCCGCGCACCCCAACATCGTCGGCTGCAAGATGTGAGTGCCCCCACCCCCTCCAAGCTCTTCAACCCCTTCCCCTCCGTCCTCGCGTGCTGACACATACACGCAGGTCCCACGGCAACGTCTCGCACCACGTCCAGATGTCGCTGCACCCGCAAATCGACGCCTCGACCTTCCGCGTCTTCTCCGGCTTCGGCCAACAGCTCGGCCCCATCGTGCTGTTCGGCGCCGCCGGCGTCATCGACGGTCTCGCCGCCATCTACCCCAAGACCGTCGTCCGCCTCTTCGCCCTCGCCGCCAAGCGTCCCGTCGACGACGACACGCTCAAGGAGCTGCGGGACCTGCAGTTCCGCGTCTCCGCCGCCGAGGAGTTTGTCGGCAAGACCGGCATCGTCGGGATCAAGGAGGGCATCTATCGGGTCCTGGGTTTGGGCAATCTCGAGGGCGGGAGGTTGCCGCTTAGGGGGAAGTTGGCCGAGGGGGAGTGGGAGAGGTGGGCGACGGAGACGGGGGCCATGGAGGTGATTGAGAAGAGTGTTAAATAGTGGTTTGATGGGTAGAGCGAACTGGAGATGCGTTTGTGTCGAAGTATTGTGAAGTTTCGGAAGTTTCGGTGTGTGTGATGTGTGGTGTACTCACGCCAGATAGATTTCGTTGGTCGTGTGCCAACCGGAAAGCGTATCGGCAAGCGAGGATGGCGTCCGGAAAAGAGACATTGCATATCGTCGGCTTTTCTGTACCGCGCTTGACTCGTCGAAAGCATGATTGCTTATCGTTGCATCATGCTGTATCCCCAGGAGCATTACGGGCTGTGAAGATGATCTTTACTGCTCAAGTTTCAATGTTGTTCATCACACATTCTAAGCCCGCCTCTTCTGCATCCACGCAGAGTAAGCCATGGCTTGGAGCCCTGTAATCCCATTCTGGACCAGGAAAACATGAAGCTGGAAGGCATCTCCGAATTCTCGTGGTGGTGTTAAGCTAAATGCGCGAACATGAATTCATAGTACTTCGTAAACAGCCTTCGTCCATGCAAAAGGATCCTCGTCCTCCGTATCCCCACCACCGACAATCCCAGCCACATCCCCCAGTCTCAACAACCCCCGCTCAGTACACATACAGATTCAGCACCCCAGGATCCTCCTCCCTCATCTTCCGATTCTGCCTCATCAGCATCACCCTCATCACCCACGCACACACAATCACCCCCGCCGAGAACCCGATACTCGCCAGCATGGCCGGCAAAAACCTCGGCGCATCCGCATCCGGCCACAGATACGGCGTATACACGCTGGCCAGATTGCCAAGCGTGTTGCACATGGCAATCGCCACCGCCTTCTTCTCGTCCGTCTGGCCCAGCGTCGCCGCCGTCCACGACAGAATGATATTATTGACCCCATACGTCGCGCCCACGAACAACATGACGCCCACATACCTCGCCGCCGTGTTCAGCGTCCCCACGGCAATCGCGAACCCCGCGATCGCCACCAGCTTCGACGCCGTCGTGTGCCACGTCCTTTCGTTGCACCGCCCGGACGAATGCGACACCGCGATCGACACCAAGCCCGCCACCACGTACGGCGGACACGTCAGCACCAGCGTCACCGTCGTGTCGAACCCGAGCGTCTTGACCACCGTCGGCAAGAAGTTCTTGAACCCGTTCGCCGACAGGTGCAGGTTGTCCATCAGGCAGAACACCCACGTGCGCCAGTCGCTGCAGGCGGCGCGCAGCCCGGCCCAGACGGATGTGTGGGCGTCGGCGTCGGCGCCGCCGCTGCGGGCGGTGGTGTCGAGCGCGATGCGGTTGTGGGCGAGGTGGCGTTCGGTGGGGGTGAGCCAGCGGGTTTGGAGGGGCGCGTCGGGGAGGAGGAAGAAGGCGGCGAGGGAGACGGCGATGGAGATGGCGCCTTGGATTATGAAGAGCCTGGAGGAGGGGGGGAGGGTGTTAGAAGTGGGGGGTTGGGAGGGGCGGGGAGGAGGATTCGGACGGACCATTGCCAGCCTGCGAGGCCGTGTTTGCCTTCGAGCCCGGCGAAGATGCCGGCGGCGATGAGGCCGGAGAAGGCGCTGGCGAGCATGTTGCCCGTGTAGAAGATGGACATGCGGGTGGCGAGCTCTTTGCGGGTGTAGAACATGCTGAGCATGTAGAGGGCGCCCGGGTAGAACTGTGAGGGGAGTCAGCTCCTGGTTGTGTTCCAAGGTTCGACTTGTGTACGTACTGGAGCTTCCACGATGCCGAGGATGAAGCGGCAGGCCAACATGGTTTTGTAGTCATGGGTCAGGTAGGTGAGCAGGCTGACAATGGACCATGCCATGGAGAATCCTGGAAAGGAAGACATCAGCTGACTTGCGTTTTGGAGGAGTAGTCTTCACGTTGGTGCGTGCTTACCAGCCATGTACCACGATGGTCTTACTCTGTTGAGGATCATGTTTGAGGGAATCTGTCCAGCCAGATATCTATTGACCTTCTGATCAGTTCGTGCAAATGAATTTCAGCAGCAAGCCACTTACCCGACAAACAGAATCGAAACGCAGGTATTGTATTGGGTGCCCTTGAGGCCCAAGTCTTTGGACAAGCTGTTGAGCTTCCCATTGATCATGGCATTCCGGTCGAGAAAGTTCATGAAGTACATGAGCCATAGGATGGGCTGGAGAGGCGGTCAGCAGACGCTTCACAAGAGGGTCGGCTACAACACTTACCAGCATGTACCAGTCAATCTTCCTCACCACCGCAATCTCCTTCGGGTCCGTCTTCGAGTGTGCGCCAAACTCGTCGACCTTCTCCATCTTGGGTTTCACCAAGTCCCCATCTGTGGTCTCAACATACTCGATGCGCTCCATGTTGGCGGCCTTGTCGTCGATGCTTTGTTTCGTAGCCATGATGACTCGAGACGATCAGTCGCCAGCAAGGACGACTTTGAGTGAAGTATAAAAACAATGCAGAGAGCTCTGGGAAAACCAGATGGAGATTCGGAAGCAGGACTGAGGAGGCGAGGATGGAGGGGACATGCAGCTGCAGCGTGCAGCCTCTCTTCGTTTACATTGCTTTATCTCAAACGCCTCCTTCGCTTAGTTGCATGCCACGTCCGAGGAAACGCTTTGGCCGGGCCGTCCCCATGGGGTAGACCGCCTTGGCTTTCTTGGAATCCCCCGTGGGGAAGCGTTGGCCAAGACGGAAAAGCTATCTTGGCGCACAGTTACTTTTCCGGGTTGCTGGGACAGGTACTAATCCGGAAGCGAAAGGATGCAGAGTGTGGTCGTCACGGAAATTCCCGATGAGCGGGGATTGCTGCACAGGTTCATGTGGAGTATCACGCGGCGGAGCTCGAACTGTTGAGGATTGGGGCGTTCGCCGGATTACGCTGCATCGGAGAAGAGCACATCCAGCCAAGTTTCCGTGGATACGACCACTTTCCACGACCATTTTGATGCTGCTGAGTCAGATAAGATGGACAGCTGGGAGAGAGGATCATTGTCGGGAGTCAGTGATAATAAGAATGGCGGTATCATGCATTTGCTTGATAAGTGCATGATTACTTTTGCTCTTCTGGATTTTCGACGGTAGCATTAAATGCTGCATTGCACTTAGAATGCATTATAGACAGATCTATGTCTTTGTTCCTCTTGCGTTATGTATAATCACAGTCTTCTCGATGTGTGTGTGGAGATATAAGATGTCAATTTCAAACTCTATAAAATCAAATAACACCGTACAAAGATAATGCAAAACTCCAAGAAGGCCTATGGCTTCCTTCATGCAACCTTTCCCCCTTATCACGAGCTTTATCACCTCTGCGTCCATCAGTCCATCAATCAACCCTTCGTGTAGCAGTCAGGAGGGCAATTCCCATCCAGCTTACACCATCGAACATGGAGGCGTCTGCACCTGTCCGTCGGGTGCCACTTATCTCCACAGCGTCCGCACTGCACACGCGCGTGACAGTCAGCACGAACGTGGTTCGTGCGGTGGCATCTGCTGCAGTAGATTAAGTCCCCCTTAGTCTGGGCAGTTGCAGACTGATGGACGCCCTTGCACCGGGCACGAACGTCCTCCACAGTTTGGCCCACAGTCTCGTAGCACGTTGGCGGATGCGGCTCATCTTCGCTCTGCGGAGATTCCGAAGCGGTGTTGCCCTGGTCTGGGTCGGAAGATGGCGGGACATCGGACTCAGAAGCGGAGCTGGACTGCTCCTCCACTAGCTTCATGCCGTCAACCATGCCGACAACTAGCGTGCGGAAGGCGTCATTCCCGCTGTTGTGAGCATGATCGTAGCTGATGCTGTAGTCCTCGCAAAGTGTCTTGAGCCCGATCAAGTTCCCATCTGTCCGACGACGGGCAACCCGCTGCGTGTCCACGATGAAGACGTGGCTCCACTCCGGCTCGCTCAGGTCGACTCCAAGCTTCATCAAGTCTTGTGAGTCGTTGCCTGCTGCGTGAAGCAGCAACGCGACCGGCCTCATCGGACTATCCGAGTCCAGCGGCCTTAGGGGAACGCTCATGATCTCCCTCAGTATCCTTCCAGTGTCAGTCTCGCTCGCAAACTCCGTCAGTCCGAATTGGAAGTGCTCTTCGCACCCCTTCTTGCAGACCTTTGGGTAGTAGGAGCGCCAGGGGTTCGTCAGGTGGCAGTACTCCTTGACCCGGACGTGCCTGGCTTCCGACTGCAGGATGCGCTCAGTGAGGTTGAGCCTGTTAGCGGTGGGCAGAATGAGAGGGTCGGAGACGCTGATACCGGCCTCCGTTGGTGTTGAGGGTGATTTCGTCTCCCGGTACTTCTCCGGGCACCTAGAGGTCGGGCCCATATACTTCTCCACGTCGACGGCGACGAGGCGAGCGTCATTCTGGAGTGCCCAGAGGAGGCGCTCCGAGTAGGAAAGGGACCTGGGATCAGTTATAGTAGTAGCCTCCGAGATACTCGGTGGAGCCGATTGCTTGTCGGGATCGGAGGCGGGGACGGCGCTAGCCGACTGGCTATTGGCTGCGGGCATGGTTGGGCATGAGGCACATCCGGCTTCATCTGTGTAGATGTTCGCCGAATCTGCGTCAATCCGAGGGGCGGTTGTTGCTGAGGGAGCCGGAGCCAGGGTAGGAGGGGTCTGAGCTGGGGCTGAGGGTGCCGAACCACGCGAGGTGGTTGAAGAGGAGGCCACCTGGGCCCAGGTCATGGTATGGCGAGTGTTCTTTGGGGCCATGCTGAGAACAGATGCTAAACAGTAGCTCCAAAGTGGTTGTGTGGTGATGAGGGAGGGCCATGGTCTGTGATTTTATATATGGATTGGCGGAGTGATGTACGGATACAATGAGCTTGTTGCGAGCCGACTTTATATATAAAGTGTTATGAAAGGATGACCACCTAGGTTGCTAACCTGTCAACTGTGTTATTTGACCTTGTTCAGCTCGAATGTAATTTGATGGGACCAACCTTGATGCGGACGGATCTCGATACTGTATCCCTTTGCTCTTTGAAATGAGGGGGATATCAGGACGTCCGACGATGGTGAATGCAGCTCAACGGCTTCGGCATAGTCATCGAATTGGCTTCCAGGTGTCGCCTCCCAAAACCAAGTATCCTTGAACGATGTGGAGATTGGTGTGAAGGGCAGAAGTTGAAGGCTGACTCAGGGCCGAAGGGCTCCAACCACATTGATAGCTCCTAGAGTATATGTCCTGTAGAACCAGTCATGATGGGAGCAGCCATACCACCTGTGTGTGACTACGACCTGTACAAGATACAGTTATGTATTTATCCATAGGCGGCATGGCTGCTATCGACGCCCAAGTTCGGTTTTAAGTAACGTGGAGGAAGAAAGATTTTCTGTAGGGCGGAAACTGGAAGGCTGAAGTCTCTATATACCATGGTTCAGTAGCGTACCATTGAGGATTACGATTATTCAAGGACCAACAGGGAACGGGATTGTCATGCGACGTGCAGTTTGTCAAACACCAACGGCAAACAAGCGTCGGCAACATACCTGCATCTCCACAGTGATGATCAAATTGTTTGTGCAACAGTTCGCACTATGTCCGAGTGGCCAGCGGAATGCCTGGTTGATGTTCTGGCCGCCAGAAAGAGCTCTGGCGGGTGGCTTGTGAGGAGCTCTAGAATGCGGCTTGATATAATAGATCTCCATGTTTCCTACAGAACCGTGAGATCGATGTGCAACTTGGAGGTGAAAACTCTGAAAAACCAGCTGAGTTGTGGAATTCGTTTCATTTGCCGACGGTACCCATTGCAGTTGTGTGCAGCGCCATTGTCCTGAGCGGGTAACGGTAGTTTCATTATTCACTAGGAACAAAGATAGGTAAGCTAGCATGCAGGGGTCCTGCGCCGACACCCAACGAAACAAAGAAAACGCACCAAGAACAAACGCAGTCAGGGTACGCACTGGCAGAGTCAATCCTGCAGGCGGTAGCCATACCGGCTGGTATCAGCGACGTTGGTGAAGGCGGCGATTCCGGTGGGGTGATGGGTCATCGACAGCAGCGCTGCTGCAGAAGCTGAATAGGACAGAGCAGGGCAGTCCGGGAAGAAGGCTTTGATGATGCTGGTAGGGACATTTCCAGGACTCAGCAGAAGGAAGTAAACCCTTCGAAAACATGGCGGAGATTCGAAAATGAGCAGATTACCAAGTCTTCTGACAGCGAGGACCGACCTGAGTAAAATCAAGCAGTATTTCGCATCTTGCAGTGGAGTGTCCGGTGTCTCAATGGTGAAAATGCCTGGGCTTTTCATTGGGTAGCCGTAGTTGTTCAATAAAGCCTTGAAATGCGGACTGGGGTAAAAGGCTACCCGGGCAGCCACACTGCAAAATGACTCCAGCGGTGGTGGCTATGCGCGCAGCCAAACGGGATAAAAATTGGCGGCTTAGATGGGAAATGGCACCGTTGTGGCCCTGCCGTTAGCGAAAAGACTGGCCGCCGCGCACCGCCGCATAATATCTCGTAGTTTGCGCCATTGGTTTCCTGCCAGCCGCAGCCAGTGACGCAAGCATCCCGAACCCAGCCTAGCACCGAGCTGTCGCGTTCTCTCCGCCGCTCTTTCTCTGCCGCACAGAAATTTTCCAACCTCACACGCGGCGACCGACAAACTCAGACCCTACATGCTCCTCTCCCCTGGCGACAACTCAGCTCACACACCCACTCCATGGTTGCCTCCGCATCGCGACGCCAGCGCCGCCTCCGAGCGCACGAACACGCCGAGTCCACCGCCCGTGAAGCAGGCACGCACAACGCCGGCGTCAACTCCAACTCCAACGCCAGTACCGGCGCCGACGACGCCAAAGACGTCGCGAAGACAGACGACAACAAAAATCCCGGCGCCGACGCCAATCCTGTCACCGCCAAAGACACCACAATGACCGACGCGGACAACCACAACAACCACAACCCCTCCACGACGAGCAATCCGCCCCCCGCCCGCAGAATACCACGCATCTTTACCCTCCCCACCGAACTCACCCAGTACATCTTCTTCTCCACCATGCCTGACGAACTCATGTTGTTCGACCCCACCAACATCCTCGACATCATCGTCTCATACCACCGGCTCCGCCTCGTGTGCAGCAGGTTCCACGCCGAGATGGACTTTGTGTTCGAAATGTGGAAACGGCGCCGGCAGGAGCTGCTGGAACCGTGGGTGGAGCGGGAGGTGAGCAAGAGGCCGTGGAAGAAGACGAGATCGTGGACGTCAATGAGAGATTCGAAGAGGATGGGATTGCTGCTGGAGGGCGAGGAGGAGTTGGTGGAGAAGGACATCGCGAAGGAGAGGGTCTTTAGGAGGAAGAAGAAGAGGTGGCTGAGGGGGAAGAAGAGGATCGAGGAGGAGAAGATGTGGCGGAAGCGGTTGGAGAAGAGAAAGAGGGAGGGGGTAGGTGTTGCGCTTTGTTTTTTCTTTCGTCCTGACACTGGGTGGAGGGATGAGGGTGCGATGCTGACGCTTTTTCTTTTGCTATAGGAAAAGAGACACTTCAAGCTGGTTGCGAAGATGGCGGCGGGCAAGACTGGCTCGGACGGGGAGAAGGAGAAGCCCCGGAAGCCCCCGAACCCCCCGCCGTCTTCCTATCAGCCGAACGCGGAACATCGCCGACATGTCCTTTTCCATAAGAACCGTAAGCATGTCATTTTCGACTAGGAGCTGGAGGAAGAGGAGCAGATGGACAGCGGAGCGTAACAGCTGAAACTGCCGGGGAATGGACGATCCCATAGCTAGGCTCTTGAGACTATGACGCCTTCGTGCGCCACATCGTTCGCTCGGTTGACTCTACCCCAGACGCGCCGCGGAAATACCTGTGAAGGCATCAGGGTTCAGTTGCATAACTCGCTCCTCGTCAGAGTTTGTGCTCTTCATGATTCAGAAACGTCCGAATTGCTTTATATATCACCACTCCGGAGGATGATCTGACAGGGTTCCGTCAACTCTTTTGCACTCTCTCGATCATCTGGACCAATGACGTCTTATATAAACGTAGATATGACCGTGTTCTCGACTGTTTCTCACTGTGCATATGGGAAAGGCGCTAGGGTCAACTCTTGAGTTTCCGGGGCGTACGGCTATTTTCTACGTGGGAAACTAGCTATCTAGAGCGGGCTTTGCTTTCTATGCGATGTAAGGGCAAGGGTGTTGTAATTTCAAAAAAAGTAGCAAGAAGTAAAGGGGCACTGAAACTAGACAAAGAAATAGAAGAATTAATATCAGAACACTTTCCTTGCTTCCACTGAATTTGAGTGGTGGTAGAACAACGTAGCTGTTTGACCGGCAACAATTAGAGCCCGTCAACAGCATGACCATTAATCCAAAAAGCAACATACGAGATCCGTGGTAAAATATCGGAGAGCCAACGGAAATACATCCATTTGATGCAAGAGCGGCCTATTACGGGAGGATAAGGTGACCCTATCCACGCTACGCGCGTGCCGCCGTGTAATACCGATAACACTACATTTCTCCTTCGCAGGTAGATAAACCCTGTAGATGGGCGCATTTATTAGCAATCAAGATGCAAGTCTACATTCGGAAATTGAATTCAACTACACATAGCAATGATTAACATGTGTCGTCTTAATACCTGTCGCCCACTGAGACGGCAACCTTTAGAGGGCTGTAGCGTCAAAACTAGAAAGTCATTGCCTCTCTCTTCTGGAGAACAGTGAGCTGCGAGATGGGCGAGCCAAGAGGGAGGTGAAAAACACCATGGCCCTAATGACATAAATGTATGCCATGGGGCTGCAGGCCATGCCTAATGTTCTGGCCAAAGAAAAAGTAGTTGGTTTCGTGCTTTGTCAAAGCCTGGCGTAGCCGGTTTCGGCATCTCGACACTTTCCGCCTTTCCGCACAACGCTTACCCAACAACATTTTCATGACGGCGCGTCGTCCACAACACCACATCCTCGACTCTGCACTACATCCACTGCGAGCTTACGGGCCCTGAAAAGTCGCGTCGCATTGAACTCACAATTCAGCAGGATTTTCACGAGGCCTTGGCCGTCGCTGTTGCTTCCGGTTGTCAAGCACCGTACTTTTGCGCGCACTGCTCCACTCTCACCCTTGCACCAGTCTACCTCGACCGTCTTCCGGGCCGCATCGCAGCTGGACATGAACGAAACCCCGCGAAGACTTCCTTCCCTCTAGGAGACAATCTCCTCATGCTACATGGATCCTTTCTGTCGATGGCTTTCGCGTGGAAAATTCTCAGCCGGCCCGGGAAGACGACCGGCCTCCGCTCGGCTTGGCCGAACCCGGATGGTTTCGGCTTCCTCCGCTACGCGTTCCCCACGTCTTCTTCGACCCTCGAACTCTGATTTGTTCGCTTACCACCGTATGATACCGCAGGGATTGAGAAGGGGCTTTATTTCGAGGGGGAAACGGCTTTCCCACGCCTAAATTGGCCAGCACATCTTCCTTTCACCTCGTTACAGGACGCAACAATTATTGTCAGGATTATAATTGCTGCAATGCATACTGTCTGTCACCAACAATGCATCGCCCGCATGGCTTAGTGGTACAGCGTCGCACTCGTAAAATACGGTAATGCGAAGATCCCTGGTTCGATTCCGGGTGTGGGCATAGACTTGGAACAGCTCGTCGAGCTCTTTCTTTTGCACTTTCGTTTTGCTGCGGGTCAAACTGTGGCCTCGCGAAACAAGCGAGAAACATGAGCATGATTAAGACTTAGGATGCTGTTTCCATTGAGACAGCTTCAAAAGAGACTAGATGGATGGATAGCTCGAAAAGTGCCGGCGGTTCGGTTTCTTTTTTCTGCAGTCCCAGGTTGCTCTTTTAAGGCGTACAGCATTAGAAGACAGCGTTGATAAATGCCACAGTCCTGATATAATTTAGACATGAATCTAGTAGTAAAAGATGCAAGCGATTGGAAAAGTCCTAATAAGAATGTAGACCAGAACACCACGGCTGCAACGAAAGTGCCATGCCAAGGCAGCCCATCATCACTACTTCTCGCTTCACCGTTTGCTTGCCAGTCTCCTCGGCAGTCGCCCTTCAGCAGTCGGCTTTCAGCAGCCGCTCTTCAGCGTTCCTACAATGCAGCGCGACGGACATAAGAAAGAAGCTCCGCAGAGTTGCATGGGCATTATCGATGAATGTATGATTTATTCCACTATCTACCCGATAAGGTCCCACACAGTCGACGCAGCAGCAGCAGCAGCAGCATCAACAACCCGCTTTCCATCTCCATCATCCGTTCGTATTGCTGCCCCTCAACACCATCCACGCAGCGTTGATATCCCGAAGTATATCCAACAGCGCAGCAGCGCACCACCCCGACGACTGAAACGCATCCACCCCGCGCGGCAGATAGGCGTACCCGACGTATCCAGTCATAGCTGCATGTATACCAGAAGAAATGAGCCAGAGGCCGAGCGCAGCGCAGAGTGGGGCGGGTAGTAGTAGCTCAGTGACGCACTGCTCGCGCTGGGCAATCGCCAAGTCATGACAAGCCAGTGCGTCCCCGAGCTACTACTACCCGTCGGTGCTCTCTCCCGCCGCATCTGGTACGTGCGTTGTAGGTATTCTCGCCCACGTGAGGGGGCGGTGTGCCGGGGCTGATGGTGGCTCTCGAGATACCCTCCTTCCCCTTTGTATGACCGGGAGAGCTCGGCGAGCTGTTCGCGCTTGAGGGCGTGGTCCGCCGCCCCTCGCTGCCTGTGGACGGGACGCGGGACGCGAAACGCGAAACGCGAAACGGCACATGCCACAAGATCAGTAGAAGAGTGAAGTAATTGAGGGATGTAGTCGCGCCCCTCGCCCATCCGCACCGGGAGTCAAGAGTTAGCTTTCGAAGCTTATACTCCCGGTGAGAATGGGCAAGGCTTTCCAACCGGAATCCCCTCGGCGGCATTCCGCTGTTTTTGATAGTCAGATGTTGAACATGGGGTAAATCCAGGAAATGATCCATCGCCGAGCCTGCTGGTAGCGGCTATGCGTTAGTCAGGAAGGGAGCCGGAAGGAAGAGGCTGTTGTTCCTACCACAAAGTCCAGTCGCATGCTCACCGCCGCTTGTCCAGCCGATTTCAAGGGTTTTGATATTCTCCAACGTCGCGATTTGGCCCCAAGGAACCTCTTGAACGGCGCGACGGCCCTCCCTCGACATCGGGACAGGGCGGTATTGCGGGATGGAGGCGGAACCGCACTCCACGGCGCCAACACCCTCGATGACCATCACCTTGAGTGTTGCCAGACAGGGCAAAGCTTTCCAGAACTCTGGCTCGCCAAAGTCGTCCAGGTATCGGCCGGGTAAAGACGCCGGCCAGATTGAGGGTGCTGGCCGGCCCTGCATGTCTTTGAGTCTATGACACTCCAGATGAACGCGTCCTTTAGAGGCCCTTGGCCCCCGCCGAACACTCATCAGCGCGCCGACCTGGGAGCCAGTGAGACGGCCCGGGAGGACCGCCGGACAGCACCAGGATGACTGCGTTAAGCCTCCACCAAGTGTGCGCAAAAGAAGGCCGCTTGTATAATGCAATTCAACCAGTTCGTCGGCGAGTGCACTTGCTTCGCCATCCGGGGGGGGGGTTGCTTCCATGAGGGTCCCGCGACCAACGTCGCTCTTTGCTGGCATAAAAGCCAGCAGAATAAGTGCAATGAGAGGATTGTCTCTTCAGACTGTCGCCTGGAGGACCTTTTGCACTCCAAGACGGGAATCCAGCGGAGGACGCGACGGACGGTGGGTTTTGTGATCCTCAGTGTCGATGACGGTGGCTGGTTCGCGTAACAACAGCCGCGGCCGCAGTGAGGGGATTTCGCCAGCCCGAACGAAGGCTGAACATGCTTGCGGTGCAGGTGTCCGGTTAGGATGCGAGATTGCTGCGCGCGGTCGCAACACCCGGTCGTGAGGTTGCGTCGCGCGAGTGAGGTTGAAGGCGTAAATCGCCTTCCTGGTATTCACCAACGTCAATTTGCTTCCACATGCTCGCGGAGTTGTAAAAGAGGTGTGCGATCTCATGGCGATTGGGCTTTGGGCCAGAGAGCTTGCGGTTGGTGGAAAGGGGCGGCCATGCCCGGCGGAGCGTGGCCGGCGCGGCGGAGGTGATCTGTTGCAGGTAGAAGTACCGTGTGCTCGGAAGATCTAGAGCCGGTCGCTGTAGATGAAGTCGACGAGGGAAGGAGGCGGCGGTCTGCAAGAAGGCGGAACCACTGGCGGAAGAAGCTCGCTGAAGAAAATTTACTGTGAGCATCGCGCCATGCGCGATGAAGTAGTAGATGCTTACCTGACTTGAAGGAGTCGCGATCGCATATGGTGAGCGCGCTGAAATGAAGGTGTGAGCTCAGATACGCCCGATCACATCCAGCGTTGCGCGGGTATCCAGCTCGATTTTGCGCAGCCATCATCCCAGAGTGAGGCCTATTAAATGCTGCGTCATGACGTTGGTGTTGTGACGCCAGGCTCTGCAGCGCATTTCTGCGACGTCTTAGCCAGCTCGGGTGAGGTTAGTGAGGAGCAAGTAAGAGAGGCGACCGCGCAGCAGACCAATTCGGGGAAACCCTTGTCTACCGATAGAACCTATCGGGCTCGGAAGCATGGTGACTGAGATAGAAGAATGGGCTGGGGTGGAGTGAGGATGGAGGCGGTGGAAGGATGAAGTGGAGGAGGGTGAAGTGGAGGGAGGACGAAGTGGAGCGGAGCGGCGGCATTTAACGGACACAGTGCGCCGCCAAACAGGCGACCGGTCACACCAGGAAGGAAGGACCATATGGGCAGGCTCCGAATAACGTCATTGTCTGGCGCAGCAGAGAATGCTGTAATGATGCTTGGCTTCTGCTGACCGTCGCATCTGGCCAGCGGCCTGGGATCGAGGTTTGGCAGGGCGGACGCGCTGTAGCCAGAACACGAGCTTCTCAGTAGTCTTCAATGCCGTAATACCTAGACTTCTGTGCCGTGTGAAGGGCCTCTATGTAGGGATGACTCGGCAGTTGGAAAATCGTGAAGTGTTTGGAGGACCTTGAGCACATGCAGCACTTTTCGCTGGGCATGTCTACGCCCGCAATACCACCAAGACAAGCACTATAGATCCCAAATTAGGAGCCGTTGAGTACCCAGCCTTGCTGACCCTGTGTCGGAGGTGGTCCCTGCCTATGTGAGTGTGTGGTGGGACGATATCGAGCAGGCTGCGGGCGCGGCGGGCCTGGACGCCGTCTACTCCATTCTGAAACACGTTCTGCCAACGTTGCCCCCTTACAACGGCGAGAGGAACCACATCTGCCTGGTCCAGATTCTACACGGCGTCTTTTCCTCATTGCGCCTTCGTGTGCCGTCGCCTCGCAACTTATGCCTACATCCGGATCCTTTTTCTCCATTAGCCCCGGCATCGTGCAGTACGATAGCAGCGAGCCAACTTCCCTTAACGCAACCGTCGCCAGCTAAGATACTACCGCCGCACCATCGCTGTGAAGTCTCCTGACGGCCAAGAGCAGAGGCTGCCATGATCACGCCTTGATGGTGACGGCGGGGCGGTATGGCAGAGACATTGAGTAGAGAGTAGTAGTAAGTATCCAAACTTCAACCAAAAGTCGCGTCCGAAGCGCATCACTGTCTTTGGCACGGCCATGCGCTATAGCGGGGGCGGAATTCTCTTGCTGCATCTTCCTCAAAGCCATACACTTCCACCGCTCCACCCACCCCATCCTCCCTGGCCCGTTCGCAGGACACCCCACCACGACCTCTGCCACGACCGCCACGACCGCCACGACCACCTCGACCACCGTGACCACAACGACCACAACAACACCACAGGTTCTAAGACCGAGTGTCGTAGGGCGTTAGCCTCGGGGTTAGCCAAGGGCAACGGAAGACCCTGTAACCATGCCATCCGATCCGCACTCCGAGAACGCGAGCTGCTACCAGGAGCGCTTACTGTGTTCAACATTGCCTAAGCTCTTTCTAGGGTGGACTTGAGAAAGACAACCCTCGGGGGCACAAGCATGGGCGCAGAGGTGGGAGCGGGCGCACTTTAGAGGTTCATTCAATGATAAGTAACTGTGGGGTGTAAGTAGGCTGGAGGGTGGCCCTATTCCTATGCTCCTAAACGCCCACTAATCAAGTGTCTTTGCCTACCTCTGCCGTCTCTAGATCTATTGGAACATCGGCTGCCCGGTGGCCAGCCATCGAGTCGATCGCCCACGCTTCCCTCGACCGCCACCCCGCCGACAGTCTCCAGGACGCCGTCCGCTCCGACGGCATCCGTCACTACAACCAGCTCTCCAAAAGTCCGTGTACACCTCATCGACATGCACTAAATCATTAGACGGTTGGCTAACGCTTCCAGGGCCAAAGACATGCTGCGAGACACTTCAGCTCCAAAAGGAAAAGTGTCGCAAGAGCTGCTGCCTGCTCCGTACGAGCAGACAAATAATTTTGCCGTCCTTGGCTCGGCCCCCGTTTCTTTTCTCTGTGTTCTTTTACCAACTGCGTGTTTTCGCTTTTCTCTTTGGATTCAGCGCCGGCCACTTCGTCTACCCGGTCCGTCATGCTGCAGCAACACAGCGGGACATCTCAATGCACTCTGTGCGTCCCCCTACGCTCATTTCGAAGGTCTCCTTGATATTGAATTGCTTTGCAGACGTGCACTACTACATCAGCCACTTAAAGGCAAAGCTCTTCCGCAGAAACAGCAGGAGCCGAAACCAATTCGATCCTCCCCGCCGCGCACATCGCATTGCGGCCCCGCCAGCGCCGTCAGGACCGAAGACATCCGAGAGTACCAAGCTGTCTAAAACATCATGCCAACCGTGCGCGGCTGTACAGCGAGGAGCGAAGCTCCTAGTCAAACAAGTCGGGAAGATCAAGAAGTGGCAAGCATCGTACCGTGTAGTACTGGAGAGACAAGTTTGAGGAGGTTGGACACCACGAAGAGTCTCACAAGCTGGCAGTGCCATTGAGTTCGTCGGGTAAAATAATTTTCTGAAGAAGATTACAAAGACATACATTATGGAGAAGGATCCGGCGCACAATGGTGTCCACATACCGGCGGATCGCATTAATGAAATGCATGTTACGTGGGGAGTAAACCTACAAGTCCTCAGTTTTCTGTCCAGTGACGAGATACCTAGTTCGCTGCATGGCCTTGGTAAGGGGACTGTCCATGCCGCGATCTTTGACGGACAACAGAAGTCAGCGCCGGCCCAACTCCACTAAGGAGGACTGAATCGATAAACCACGGCCGTTGAAATTCGCAGTGAGGTATTCCATAGACTACGAGCTCTCGGATTTTGTCTCTTGAAGGCTCAGGTGGTGTTGTGCTTTAGTGCTTTATGCATTGCAAAGTAAGACATAAAGAATCACTTTGCGCCCGCTGAGTGGTTGCAGTCATCCTATGAGAGCTTCGTCCTGCCAAACCGCGCCGCCGCAAGGTTGACTCCACCGATACCGCCGCGTCCTCAATTGATAGAATCGTATCGGTCGACTCAAGCCTTCCCCCCTGCTACACCGTATTTCTCGTTTGTGTTACTACGTGTGATCTGTTAGGAAGTGCCCACGTACCTGGCCTTCTCCAAGAATAGGTCTACGTCCTGGAAGAAATACAGTGCATGTCCGAAGAAGGTGTCCGATTTTTTCGAGCCATATTTCTAAGCGGAAGTCGTCAAGAAGAATTCAGGAGTTGGCCAACAATCAACACTGATTCAATCATCGAAAGATCAACATGGTCAATTTGATTCAAGGCCCCGAACTGTATGCGAGATTTCAAGACGAACACATTTATCCAGATAATGGATACATCTGCAAGTATAGCAGGTGTATTGATGAGTCTGTAAAGAAACGCTCCCATTTGTGCAAAGTCATAGAAACCCCATCAAGACCTCTAATCCTTCGACGTACCGAAGCGCAAACGGCCAATACAAGAAACAGCGCTCCAACCAGCGCCTAATAGCCCAGTTGCCGCATAGCTTTCCTGTAGAACTCAAGTGGCGGTGATACGTAGTAACCTTGAATGAACAAGGACAATGCTTCCTTCATGCCATACTGCCCAGGGACCGTCTCGAATAATGAGCCGTCGTCGTCCACTAGCAAGATCAGCCCCCACTCATCTCCATCCCACGGCCAGCCCAGAGGTTGTATACGATTGTTCAGGTCCCAGACGGCCTTGAAACTGCCCTCCCATGTAGACAAGACCAGGCCGCCCGAACACGAGTTCCGGCGGAAGACAAACTTCTCGAGAGAAAATTGGTCACGAAGAAGTTCTAGAGTAGGCACCCAGGTATCGCCCGTAATTCCAAAGCCCGTCATGCTGAGCTGCTTGATCTGATGGTTGTTGTCCAGGAAGGTCGTCAAGCGTGACACATCAACGCCCACAAAGAAGCACAGGCTGACGCGGCGTAGGGCTGAATAGTTTGTAGTGGGCAAGATCCTGGTGAATAAGCCGTGGTTTCCGCCGCAGCGACAGCTATTCAGAATTATGAGCTGCTTAAGTTGAGTTGCCGCCTGTATCATCCTCGCCACGTCGGTATACGGCTCGGCAGGCACGTTGTCTGCAAACTGTCAGTCCCGAAGTCTCATACCATGTGCGATGCTTTTGTTTTTTTGACTCACGAAGAGGTGTTAGGTCCTGTACAGGAAGTGAAAGAAGAATATCGTTTGTCTCGGCAAGGACCTCTGTCGGGAGTGGACGGATGATTGCGTTACAAGGGCTGAGCCCGTCTTCGGCGACCGGTAATGGATGATGGTCTGATCTTCTCTCACGGCACTCGGTTATATGGAGACTCTGAACTCCGGTTCCGCTGTCCTTCAGAGCTTGAAAGATCACCGAAAAGAATCGATGACGACCGGGAATGTGAGGGCAAGCTGCGGGGTTGCAAGTGATATGGCCAAAGTCGAAGGTATCGGCATTGATCGTGATGAATCGAAGGTTGGGCATCCTTTCCATTGCCTGTGTCAAGTAGTCCTGTGATTTTCCAGCCGCACAACACCAGCCCAAGGTCACCGCGTGGTCAATCTGCTCGGGGTCGGCTTTCGCGAAGGCGAGGGTGTCTATAGCTTTAGCCACGGTCTCGGACTGAACTAATGTATATAGATTAACGAATTCCTGAGGGTTAAACGTGATTCGAATGCTCCAAAGGTATTGCGCCCACGAGAAGTCCGCTCTTCGTTGCATTTCATGAGATGTCATGCGGAGCCATCCGAGGTCCTCCTGTCCAAGGAACTCTCCGATGTGGCTGACGAGCTCCGCAGGGATGGTTTCCAGCGTGCGACGTTCGGGATTCATGGTGGGTAGCGGTGGGTGTTGTCTTTGAGCTTGACAGGTACGATTGCGCAGAGGATAGATATCCACGGACGAGGGCGGTGACGGTGTTGCGCCTACGCAAGCCAAAATAACGCTAACTAAATCGGGACGGCATGTAAGCCAAGTATACACTCACCTCAGAATTGGTGAACCCAACAAACGCAGAAAGATCTAGATGCTTGTCGAAGCCTTGGGAACCAGACTATCGAGCCAACCTGACTCCAGTCACTTTCCCGTGTAAGGAGTATGGCTCAACTGTTGCTTTCACCGCTTTTCATCGTATACATCGATCATACAAGCTGCATATTCATGATCTTCAGCGGTCTCTCACCGTGTACATATACCCAATACTATATATAAGCTCCGATGCGCCGTTATCCAACAGCATGTTCAAGCGTGCGTGACAGCGTTGTTTGCAATCTATTACAGCGCACCCAGTATGTTGTTCGGGCGCCACATCAAAGTGGTGATTAGAATCGTTATTACCTACACAATATACTATTTGTTACCATCATCTACGCAAAACAAACCATGCCTTATTAGCATGGACATGGCTTCTTATTGGTGGAGGTATGCTGTAGTTACGGCAATGCTGTGTTGATTTGTATCATGTCGCAGACTTATGTGCCAATTTGAAGTTTGATATTTGTTATTTGTACGTAGAACAGCAATAACTAAAACTCTGTTAGCATGACCTAGATCTAGCTGAGATCCCGTAAATATCACTGCTTGTATAGCTGTTAAAAACATATTGCTATAAGCGCTGTTGCCACATTTGAGTACAAGGAATCATTCAAAACTGAAAACTTCCTCCAACTTCCCAAGCCCCGATAATGCTGTCTCATGCCTTTACCTGAATGTTTTCACCAGCTTTTCGAAAAAAGGGAAATGACCATCCCTTATTGTCGTCCCGATAGGCAGTAAAACACTTGTGATGCCCACGATGACACAAACACGACACCATGTGGCAAGGCTGGCAGTGGTTGCGTGCATAGGGCCGACAGATTATGTGTGAGGATGCAGCGCCCGTCGTGTATTCCGCCAGTGTACCGCTCACCCGAACATTGACTGGCGTCAAGCATCCGAACGCCGGCACCATTCCCAGCTGATCTACCGGACCCGCCGCATGAGCATCCCTATCTCCATTCCAACATCTCGCCCAAGGTCCACAAACTCTTACCGCTCCGAGTCCTCGCGGTCATTCGATCCTGCTCGAATACCACGCACAGCCATGATCGAGATCTCCTGTAGATAAGACCTTATCAATGATATTCCAAGCCCGCGACTCAATGTCTGTGCTACAGGCCGAGGAACGAGACATGTTTTGTCGTTGGGGACGTTTGTTGGCATTGTAATGGAAGGGTTGTTAAGGGGAGAGGCCAGCTGGACACATTGGATACACGTAGTTAGATCTTCTTCAATTGGAAGCAAAAGATCTGCGAGAATATGCAAAGAAAGAACTTGCCAAGAGGCCACCGAGTAGCGTTGTGGTGCACCAAATGCACCAATGAGCAGTGCTCCAGCGCCTGTAGTGCAAAAGCCCCTCGTAGCCAGGCAAGTCATAGCATTGAACCCACCACCCGCCAAGCACTACTTCAGAGACCAGGAATCAGCAACTACTCCAAGTTCTCCCCCCGATCGCTCAAACGCTCCATCGCCCAACGCTTCACCCACGCCTGACGCCCGACCGCCCCCAATCCGCCTGCTACCACCGTATCAGCGTCAGCCTTGCACATTCCAACCAAGCTACGGGATTGCTTACACTCTTTCACGAGAACCTCAGCCCTTACATATCCCCGAAAATGTTGCGGAGCATGCGACGACGGGCACGACGGTCGGCGAGGTTGGCCCTGTTGCGTGCGCGCGCCCAGCCGTTGGCGAACTTGATGAGGATGAAGAAGACGAGGAGGAGTAGAAGGAGCCAGAGGATTGAGAGGACGATGTTGGAGGGGTCCATGGTGCGTTTGTTGCTTTTGGATAGCGGGATGGTGTGTTTGTTGCCTTTGGATAGCGGTATGGTGTGTTTCGAGAGGGAGTGTGGAGTTGGTGCTGGATGGGAGTGTCTGCGCGGGCCGAAATATGGTGGGGGTGCTGGTGAATGGTTCCGGGTGTGTTAGTGGGATGTGGAAGAAGTTGGAAAGATCTGAAGTTGCTATTGTGGGTGGCTTGTTGTTAAGTGTGAAAGCCGGTAGACTGCAGTGAATGCGCCAGCCACGCAAGGCTTGCGCCAATACTGCCAGTATGGAGCCTTCATGGGCTTTCACAACCGTTGCAATCCATGACAAAACCAGTTGTATCGAACTCGTTCGAGACGAGGGTCCAGGTGTAGGCGAGCCCGTGGGTGCTGTCAAAGTCTCTGAGTATGCAGACTAAGCTCTCTTCCATCGTATGGAACAATGAGAATACTTGCCATTATCTGAAAACTTTTTGAACGAGCGTGCGGACATCGGCCCCTTTCAAAGCCTCGACATAACCACCCTCAACTTGCACGGCATCCGAGCCTCGTCCTGTATACAAATATATTACCCCCAGCAGGTACACAGCGCATGGAGCTTGATCCTCGAGTTATAGCAACAACAACAGCAGCAGCAGCAGCAACATGCCCAGCCGAGAGTTCCCTCCAATGCCATCAATAGTCTCCTCAGTATGTAGTGTGTACAGCAAGAGGGGGTCGAGCGGCAATTGTACCGAACACGGTTGTTCGGCCTGTGACCGGCATCCGGTGCGCGGGGGCGTGTTGCGAGAATGTAGTCGGAGACGGGGTGAGGTTTGGGCGCCCATGAAGAGAGACGACGGCTCAGCGTAGCGCGGTCGCGCTGCTGCTGGACGATTGTTAACTATTCGAGTGGGAGGGAACGAGCTGGGTGGCGGACTTGCTTGCTGATGACTTTCGGCACGGCATCGCGGCGGCGCGCTGAGAAGCAGATGCGCGCGTATGCCGTACGGCATATCGCGGTCCTGTGGGAGTGAGTGCGCACGCGCTGAGCAGCGGTGGTGGCCTGGTGCCTGGTCTTCGAACTTGGGCGTCGGGTCAGCAGAGTGTTGGTGGTGGTGGCGGGTTCGCGTCGGCCGCCGCCCGCGACTGCGCACAAGCAACAGCAGATGTTTCTCCTCGAGACTCGGCTCTGTGACCGGCATATGTGTGCGCCTTGTCCCACATTGACGATGACAGCCCTCGGACAGATGCGAGGCAGAGGCGTACCGCGCCCGTTTATCAAGAAGCTGAGCTGGCGCTGGCTACTCTGCATCTCTGATGCGCGAGTTGAAATGGGGGTTCACTCTCGAGAGGCATATTTCGTACACATAACGGGGCTCTACTGTCGAGCTCGTTTCTCGCATTAAACCACGATAGAGTCGAAGATCGAATTGCGGAAGTTTCAAAAGCAAACAATTAGATCGAATGATAAGACTCCATTCGAATAGGAAATTAAACTAATGAAAACGCCCCCAAAGATATATTCCTCCGCTCACCGAACCAGAAAGTCCATCTGCTGAATCTCCTCCGAGCTCACGTGTCAGGTTCTTCCATCATCTCCGCAACAGCAGGAAACCCCAGTCGTGGTTTCGTTGATGTCACGCCATTAATGAAACAATGGAGCCGACACCACACCCAACACAGTGCCATTGTTGCTCCAGGAGCCGGCGAAAGAATACGTGGTTTCGTCGATTTCCGGCAAAGTGACGCTCTCTTCAAGATGCGGAACAGCGGTGTTCAGGGTGTTGAGCTGGACAACCCAGTGCCGTGGTCGTTCCAGGAGCCGGCGAAAGAATACGTGGTTTCGTTGATGTCCCGGCAAAGTGACGCTCTCTTCAACATGCGGAACAGCATTGTAGTCGGTTTCGTTCAAGGTGTTAAGCTGGACTGGACTGTGTGAGCTTGCGCGCTTTGTCGAGGGATCAGAAGAAGGGTAGGACTTACGATCGGCCATCCTGCACGCCTCACGCTCGGTCTGGCTCCGGTGCGACATGCTAGGTGGGATGTCTAAAAGGGCGCGACATCCCATGTCGTTTTGTATTCGTTCCAGAGCCGAAAGGAGAGTACGTGGTTTCGTTGATGTGGCCCCTCCTTGGAGCAGAGGGGTCCAACACCAGCGATGGAAGAGAGCCGGAGCAAGAAAACATTACGTGGTTTCGTTGATGTCTTCCAGTCAGGTTCTTCCATCATCTCCGAGATATTGGACGCGGGCGGCAAGACCCGCCGATGTCGTCCATGGAAATGCGGGACGAGCCGTTGTGGACAACGGAGAACGTCCCAGGTGGCCCTCATCCACCAGAAGCAATGTTCGTGGCTGGAGAAAAACTCCCGAGGTCCGTTCGAAGGGGTGACGCTGGCTCTCATCCACCAGACCCGAGGTGTCTGGCTGGAGAGAAACTCCCAAGAGCCAGTTGAACGGAAGAGGACATGAAACCTCATCCACCGCAAGCGCCGCCCATAGCTGGAGAGAAACTCCCGAGGTTCAATTGACCCTCATCCACTATGAGCGACGCTCGCGGCTGGAGAAAAACTCCCGAGGTGGACCCTCATCCACCACAATTGTGGCTGGAGAGAAACTCCCGAGGGTCATTCATGCCTCTTCCATTCGAAGCGATGTTAGCGGCTGCAGTAAAACTCCAAAGGTGGGCCCTCATCCACCACACCTGCCATCCATGGCTGGAGAAATGTCTCCCAAGGTCAGTCCAGGCTGATAAAACTGCCCTCATCCACCATGAATGACGATTGTGGCTGGAGAGAAACTCCCGAGGGCCGTGAGAATGTGAGGTAGAAGGCGGTTTCGAGATAGCTGCCGAGCGAGCGGTGCCCAAGCTGCTGTGAGGAGTAGTGGTGCAAATGTATATATAATGAGGTCTGGGCCGGAGGTACGGTTGTGGCGACGATCCGGGTTTGACACGTTCGTCGTAAGGTTTCAGAGCGGATAGAAGCAGCATGCTGAATCGTGCAAGTAGTTGCTGCTTGCCCGTATGAGATGACGAACCGCAAGGCAGGAAGGGCGACCATGTTGCAAGACGGTGAGACACCACATCAAAGGACGGAAGAATTGTCCTGGATCCTCCGGCGCCCAGGGAAGGCTGTCGATGGCGGGCAGATGAACCATCATGATGACGCTCGGGTGGAGTGAGGTTGAAGGTGTCTGTCGCCTGAAAAGGCTTTCGTCGCAGGCAGGAGGCAGGAGGAAAAGGCCCGGGGTCGCAAGCAAGGTGTGCATGGCTGGAGTGTCTGGGTGCCGGGCTTCCAGGACACGGTCGGAGCAAAGAAGCTGAGGGTGTAATGTCAGTCTGGTGGGACGAGTGCATCAGGGCTTGGATGTACGTACAGGCAGGTTGTGCTTTGGCAGAAGCTCGATAGCGAAGGCGCGCCGCCAAAAAGGCAGCACGCCCGTCGTCGGATTTGATGAAAAGATGTTCGCTGAGTGAGGGAGATTATGGGATCCAGTGGCTCAGGTTGGGGATCTGAGAGTGGAATGGAGGATGAAGAGGGAGGGTGCTGCGACGCGGGCAGGTTTTTAAGAGGTCCAAGGCGCAGTGACTGGGGCGGACGCGAGCATGCGCACATGCAAGCGTCCATGCTCTCGAGTGACCAGGTAGTGAGCCGGTTAGGCAAGTAGGCAGTGGCGCAGGCTGAGGTCAAGTTTGGAAGGCAGCCGAAGCGCACACTCACCGCTGGCGAAAATTGGGCTATCACTGGCCATCCGACAGAATCACTCATCTCGCAGCTGCACACCCGCGATGTTCAGAAACGATTTATTCAGCTAACAATGCGCAGTGCCTTGGTCCTGATAATATTCCAAGGGTTCCAAAGTCCGACTCTCTGCCCCCCGGCTTTCCCAATCCAAACCGGCGCGCAGCGAATCTTTCCCTCAAAGCCACCCCGATGAGCAACCAAATAAATCCAAGGAAGACTCACTGCAACGACGGTAGGCAAGCTGAATCCAACGAGGGTCAAGACCGGATCTGAACTTACACTACCCGAACCGCTCTTAGCCTCATACAACAACCGGGCACGGAAGAGGTCCAGAAAGTCTTGGAACGTGTAGAACACCTACGTGCTTTCGTCAGCTACACATCCCTCACTTGATACTCAGACAAGGAAACGGAAAACTCACCCTCGGACGGCAGCTCAGTGCAGAGTCGCACACCACTGATGAGGGATTCCACACTGCTGTCAGCGGCGAGTGACACGATATCTCTCACTCACGCGAGTCCGGATCCTCAGGTAAGCCAGACGCGTCAAGCTTGCTCTTGACGTCGACGATGGTCATGGGCATGTCAAAGCTGACAAAGGCGCAGCCGACAGTGTTGGCGAAGTCGATACGAAGGTGCAGGAAGTCGAACTTTCCGTGGACCCAGCGAGTCAGAGCTTCCAGGTCGTACTGATCGAGACGGGTCAGCACAGTTCGAACGAGAATGCGAAACGGAAGGGACTTACCGTGGTCATTTGGTTCGGAATGTTGCGCAACATGGCAGTGGTGCGCACATCCAGGCCTCACCTGGTCTTCCCATACAATGGAAGTCCGGCTTGCATCAGAGTAGCCACGCTCGCTGAACGTCTGGATACACAGTGCCACCAAGCTGGACCGCGGGGACCACTGCTTTAATGGTAGGTATTCGGTGAAGGCACGGGAGCCCAGGTCCATGCGGAACTGATAGCCATATCCAATGGACTATGGTGCCAGAGGCTGCTCCGGTGCAGATATAGTTGGGGTAGAAGCGAACGCAACTGCTATTCGATAAGTAGTATCTCACTTCAGTTCAAGGAGTCAGGAGTGAGGGTGAGGGCATACCGCAAGTGAACGAGGCCTGGAGCTCTCCTGTTCACTGGACGATGTTCTGTATATATATCTCGTATAACCTGGATATATCGGTTCGTCTGGATATATCTTGGATATACAAGCTTTGTCGTGTGAGGAAGAAAGAAGGCAAGAAGGATGGGGGGTGGAGGCCTTTAATGCGCAGCCCAGCCACGCTAATCCCTTTTGAAAATGTGAAATCAATGTCTGCCCCGCTTTTCCAGCCAGTTGGAATCTTCGAGGCAGAAGATGTGAGTCAGAGGGCTGAAAGAGTGGCTGGGTGTGGGATGAGGCGTGGGGGTGGATCGGGCAGGCCGTGCCGCCTACACGGCTGGAGAGTTGTGTGAAACCAACGACCCGCTGGATCTGAGCTCTCCATGCAGACTTCACAGTGAGGATGCTCAAATGAATTACGTCAGGTTGTTGGAAGGCTTCTGCTCATGCATTGGTGTGGTGAAAGTGCCGAGCCGGATCTCTTTCCAAGCAGTTGACAATTTCCGCAGCCCATTGCATGCAGCCGCTTGTTGCTACCTCACTCCCTCTGCCACGATGAACCACCTTTCCATAGCTACGGGACATGGCAGAGAGACCCAGAGACAGGCCCAGGGAATCTGGCTCTATCGACCAGCAGTAAACCTTGCGGCACGTTGCCGCAGAGCATCTGGCCCTTGCAGTTTAAGGACTTCAACTATTTCCCTCTTACTATGCTTCCGAATGGCTCGCACGAGTGAGTCTCCTATCTCGTTCAAGGCCCTTTGTCCCCGCTCGATACTGAAGTGCCATGTCTACCTCGCTGTCCCATCTGGACCGAAATCTTGAATCAATTTACTGTGCAAATTCAAGCGTATAGACCATGGAGCAAACTATAGTTTGCTAGCTACAATATTGCACAATCTAATCTCCCACCACGCCTTGCGGTACCAAAACTGGCTTCTGTCGGCGCCATGAGTGCGAGCATCGCCGTCGGCTGGCGGGGCAAATACAACGAAACCAGCCGCATGTCGCGAACAGAGGGGTGCGCTACCAAGCTCACTCTCACTTATGGTATTTTGAAGTGAACCAAGATTCTTAGTCTCCTACAGCAATTCATATACCAACTATCTCAGCGTGCGGAACGGTCACACGAGCTGCCTGAGCTCCAGCTTACATGGAATGAAACGGCGAGAGACGGGCCAAAAGCCTGAGTGCAATGGTATGACCAGCTGTTTCGTCTCCCAAACGTATAGGGGAGCACGCAAAGTCTGGTGAGCTGCCATCAAGGGAAACCTTGCCGGGCAGCAAGATTTGAGGAGCTGGCGAGCGAGCGAGCGGGCAAGCAACGGCACTGTTTCAAGGCATGACATTGGTCCTTGCGGTGTGCGTATTTCACTGGTTGAGGTGAAGCAGCGACCACTGCCAACCGGGATGCGCGGTGAAGCCATGTACCGCCTTGCGGAATTGAATCAGACAAGGACTACATCCGGGCAAGTTCTTGGGTCTGCACCTCCTGACTGGTCTTGTAGATATTCTGGGCTGTAGAGACCTCTGATTCTGAAAGAATCCGAGGGACTATCTGCGCCTACTCTTTCAACGAACTCCGAGTGTGTTGAGCCAAACCCAAGCCCCTGATTCAGGCGAAGTGGACTATCTGTACGTTCGTAACGATATTTTCCGTGTGACTTCCCGGTGGCCATGCTTCCAAAGGCATGCTTGGACCTGAGGAGCATGAGTTACGGCACATACATCGCAGAAGATCGTTCGAGCAGTTTTGATCCGCTCTCACCCGGAATGGTGACTACTGTTATGGACTGGCTGCAAAAGCAGCTTACCTTCTGCAATGCAGCCACGCTCTCTACTCCAACCGCTGCCAGTGTGTGCTGGTGTGCCCGTGTGTGAGAATGTGTGAAGCGAAGCTTGTGAAAGAGTGCCGAAGACAAAGAGCTGAATGAAGAATGCGTGTGGGAGGCCGGGGCGCGTGGAACATCGGCCGGAGGGAGAGACAGCGAAACGGATGGAGGTGGAGGACCGGATATTGCTGCTAGTACGACTAAGAAGTTTCAAGCAGCATGCCACGTTCGTACTGTGGAGGGAAAACTTGAAAGCTGTGATGTCGCAATGACTCATCCGCGAAAGCGGCTGAGAGCAAGCAGCGATTTGAAGCGGACATACGATGAGACGGTGTTGGTGGTGCTCGCCGCGGCTCAAGAGTACCAGTGGAATAAATAACCTTTGTCGCGTCGCTTCGTTGCGGGCATGGATATCCTATCCGAGCAAATGGTCTTGCTTCATGAAGCAAGGTCGTCCGTGGTTGACCTCGAAATCCTGATCGCGGACCCGCTGTTAGTAAAGTGAAGGGGTGAGACGGGAGCAAAATACCTGGGCGGTGGTTTGCGAGCGCCGAGCGCGGAGCACCGGCATGCAGCATGGTGGGAGGGTATGGACGAACTCTGTCGTAGAGTGGATGTGCGGGTGCAGGCAGAAAGGCGCAAGCCGGCATTTTGTCCTACCGGGCGGAAGATCTGGATGGTGCGTGGTCGGGATCGGGGAGGAGAGAGCTGATCAACACCAAGACCGCATGTCATGAGAGCCAGCTAGCTGGCGCAGAGCGGCGCACATCCTTCGGATAACGAGTATCCAACACTTGCACGCCCTAAGCTCGTGGGGTTCTTGGTCTTGCATTGGCCGTGACCTGCCGGCCGACGCGCAGCGCTTGCGACGACGCGGCCGCCATCTAGACGTAGGTACGGGACCAAGCAAGGCCGGCGTACGCAAAGAGCGCCCAGACCAAAGTGAAGGCTGTCTGCTGCTAGGTCCTAATTCCGCCCCAGCCATCGCCAATCACCCGGCTGGTATCGCGACCGCAGTCGCAGCGAATGCCTCAGTAACAAAGTACGTTGTTCAGGCAACCAGGAGCAGATTAAAACTAAACAGCGAGACTAGCGGAGCTGGATAGATTGAATCTAAACAAAGGCCAGCGGAGTAGCGCAGATTGAAACTAAACAACAAGGCCAAACCGCCAGCCACCATACTGCTAACTGAATCCTCTTCCTCGAAGGCCCGCACCAGGCGAGCCATTCAACGAAAAGAGAAAAAAAAAAAAGCGGCAGAGCCGCAAAAAAGTGCCAAAAATTTACCAGTTCGGGCATTGCCCAGGTTCTGGCAAAACCTTATGAGAAAAACGGAGACCTACACCAGAAGTTAACACTGTCTTAAAGTGGGGGAAGGGGGATGAAGAAGAAGAAGAGAAGAGGAGCAGAAGCGCCGGGGGGGAGGGGTTTATATAAGTTTTCGAAGGCTGTTGGTCAAGTGACGGGGTGGCGCGGCGCGCCGGCGCTAGGCTGTTTGGGGGGTGATGCGCCGGTGGGGGGTGATTGGGAGGCAGGCCGCTGCGCGCGCGCGCGCCTGGGTGATGAGGTTGATCCGACGCGACCCAACGCGACGCGGTTGTGATGATGGAAGCACTAAGGGCATGGCTTCGGTTTCGGATTCGTGAATCTGAGGCTGGGGTCAGATTGGGTAAGGCAGTATGAGGCATGGAGGCCTAGCTACGGTGCGCTCATGACCGGGCTTGGTGTTAACGGCCTGTGGTTCTTTCACGATCCCGGCCAGCGGTTTCAAGTCTCAGAGGCCCGCCAACGACCCTCGCAGGTGGTCATGATTGCGGCGCTTCCATGGTTGCCAGATCTTCTAGCGTAAGATTCCACGATGCGGTGGCCGATGCCCTGAGGTTGAGCCAACGGTAGGATCAGAGGTTCTCGAATAGCAGCGTCGCACTGATTACTGCCTCACAGTGTATGCGCTCAACGAGCATAGGGCTTTCTAGATGCGCATTCAGTTGCCATGATGCCGACGCTGGCTGGCAATATCCAGGCCTTGAACACTTTGCAGACCGCGAGCGGCTTCAGTGACGGCTTTCAGCTGCGATCTGTATCCATGCGAACGAGAACTTGGGTGACTATTCCATCCTTCCCGTCGCATACCTGCTGTAGGACTCCAGCAGCCAAGCTCTACTCCCCCAGTGGAAGTTCGCATCTCAATCCGACGCGTCTCACAGCCATCATCAGCGCTGGTGTCATTCCCGCCAGGACTCACACCAAGCTATGCTCGATCTCAGCTAAGAATGAACCAGAAGAGATCACGAAGCCCTCTCATCTACTCCACCACTTACTGCCGTGTACGAGTCTCATTGCCGGCGGCCGACGGGCACCATGCGCCGCTCATCAACCAGTGACCGACCACGCCGACACCCGCCGCTTGCCCAGCCCAGACATACAACCCCTTCTGACACAATCTGCATACAATCCAAGATAGAGGATGGAGGGACGCGCATGGCGGAGTGACGGGCAGAAAAGCCCAATCACAATCGCTGAATGTCGGCTTGTCGCGCTGACAAGAGCGGCGGCAGCATCAGTGGCCCAGTGAGACCGCACGCTGCTCGACACCGACGCCATGGCGAACCTAAGGTGACAGTACTTACGAATACCTCAGTCTTCCGTGCTGTCTGTGGGTGAGGCTGACCTCGAGCGAGTGAGTGAGGTCGCCCGCCTGCCGCTACTACATGCCCGCATTTGCGTAGTTGGGCCCATCCGTTACGGGAACGGCCTCCCGCATACGGATTTCTTGAGTAGCAGGCACCGCAGCAGACTACCTTCTTTCAATGGAATCATCTCGTCGCGCACTCTCGTCACAGCCCGGCTTCCTTCATCCTGACACCGGCCGGGCGAAACGGCCACTGTTACTCCTTACACGGGTATAGCATGTCCTCAGTGCGACATAGCTAGCTGGCCATGTTGGAGGAGGCGCGACATGAGAATGACAAGCTCTTACATGTCAGCAGCGCCTAGTAGTTGGAGGTCTTTGGACTACATTGCTGTTTCCCCGCTGGCTGGCAGGGCGAGGTGAGGCGTGCACCGTAGTTTCTGCTTTCGCTGCGGCATCACTTCACCGCTTGAGCTGGTTTTTAGGAATGAAAGAGACCTACACATGTGTAGCTCTGGATGCGTGATGCTCGAGACCCGCTTGTAGCTGTTCGCGCATGGCATGTAGACCTTGGAGAGGGGGGACGGTGGAAAATACATTTGGCTTGGATTTATGATCCTCATCAAATTCACAGTTACTGGAATGCGTGAACGGTCTCAAATCTTGGGTAGGCAGATGCATATTATAGTAACAACACTTTTTCCTCTATTTGTTCGCCGGCCGTACTAAAAATCTTCTTGGGTTTCTCATCACAGTACCAGCCGGCGGTGGTGTTTCGATCTTGCCCACTCTGATACTGCGCAGGCCACGAGAGACAAGCCAGTTCTAATATGGGCGTCGGTTGAAAAGTTGAAAGAGGGGATGAATGGATCTCGATCGGCGTCTGAACATGTACGAGAACAATGCGCCGTGCGAGTGAGAGACAAAGAAATTCTATGTCCGCCAGAACAATTCAAGCCTTCGTGCTCATTCCGCGTAAGCGCTGAGGCTAAGCTCTCTGTTGCCGGCGATCTGGATCTTGCCCATACTGTTCTCTCGCTCAAGCCACATTCTCAGGCAAGGGGAGTTCATGAAAAAGGGCGCAAGGAAAGGAAGTAGAATGGGGGAAAGAGAAGACAGGAACAATGTCGAGGAGGATGTTAAAAGAGAGACACAGACTAATATATGCGCTATGAGCGATACTACTGCGCTATGAGCGAGACCACCGCGCATGTCTTGATGCGGGATCCGCTACATATAGTGCACACATCTAGCTTTTGGTCGAGCAAAGATGATGATTTTTCCCCTCTTCTAGAGCCCACGCAGCTACCATCAAGCTGGCGGGGTGTGTAGCGAAAGAGGGGGAGGCTTGTGGGTGAAGGAAAGCATGGGTTGGAAAGTGAAAAAGGCGAAGGAGAGAGAGAAATGAGAAGGAGAAGAGAGACGGGGTCTGATATATGCGCCTCAAGGGGGACCAACGCTTTGGGTAGAAGCGAGACCCGTAAAGAACGCACTCACGCTGGCTTAAGACAAGCACAGCATGTGGATATTGCCCTTACTAGCATCCCTTCCCAAGCTAGCAAGCTGGTGGTTTGCCAATGGCGGGCGGTCAAGAGTGATTGTGACTGAAGGGAATGTGGAAGGAGGCAAGTCGATAGAGTGTCGGAGGATGGCCTGGAGGTACGGTGATCGGATGGCACGGCTGTGAGTGATCTGAGGACGGTGGTGCTTGAGGCAGTGATATAATATCCATCTGTAAGTCTTTGTCAGCTGGAATCTTTGCGGAAACACGCTTGTGTCTGAAAGCGGACCGAGTTTAAAACCGGCTTCACCAAAGTAGTCTCGCTTTGGCCCTGATCCCGATGGATACTTTCACCATGCGTGCAGGCATGGCGATGCTGCTCCGAAGAGACAGCACTGCCAGAACGCGGTGAGGAGGGGCGTGGAGGATGGGTAGCGCAGAAGGACGATGGCAAAAGGTACTTACAATGATAATGAAGCTCTTACGACTGACTGATGTTGCTCTCTCCTTCTGTATTTTCGAGATGCCCTTTGGTAACACCGTACAGCCACTGCATCAAGCTGCCGGATGCATTTGTGAAAGATCAAGTGTAGCATGATCATGTCAAAAGGGCGCAGTTGTTCTTGCCACCTGTTCTTGGCCTCATGCAAGATGGAAAACTAACGCATGAAGCCTAGTGGGATGGCGTGGGTGAGGAAAGTGACGCTGAAGTGGGTGTTGCTTGCGGAATCCAGGCAAGTCGGATGTGGGCAGTGGGGTGGGGCTAAGGAAGAGTCAGCTAAAGATCTGTTGAGTTGCTTAAGTCAAGAGCAGGGTGATGGGTAAGGAAGCGAAGACAAGGAAAAGGTTGTTGCGCGGCCGTGGGATGGGATTGTGCTGACGAACTTACATGCTCTTGAATCAAATGCCGTGTCGCATGGTGCAGTGCCAGCTTGGCTGGCGCGGCACGAGCTGGTCAAGTGAAGGGCAGAAGCGCCCATCGGAAGTGCGAGTATGTTAGAGGAGACGATGCATAAACAACGGAAGAATCGATGGAGTGGGCTTACCGAAGCTCATGAGAGTAGAAACAAGGACAGTGGGGTGGGGAGGAGGAAAGGTGGTGTTGGGGGAGAGGTTCGGGGCGCACAGAAGATCTGCTTTTATGAGGCGCGGCGCAGGCGATTGATCACGCGCGCTGCTGTGTTGATGAGCGCGCGGGTGGAATCACGTGGAAGATCCAGGCGCAAGCTGGTGCAGCTGATGTGATGGGAGTCGCCCGTAGCTGCAAGCCGGCCTACGGGGCGCGCTACGGTCGCGCGGCGGTCGCGCACGCGTCTGTAGAGGTGCGTCAGCAGCCTGAAATCAGTATACGCTACCTGAAATCACTTTCCAAGATCTTGAGAGATATAGCGCACCGGTTCCGGTGGTTGGGAGTTGGGACAGCCTGCAGCGCGTTGTCGTCACTGTCGCCCTGCGCAAGTGCGGACATTGAGCAGCGCCAGCTAGGCGCACCGGCCGACATCTCTACTAACGTAGGGTAGCATGCGCCCTTGGCCACAGTAGAATCTCTTAGGATAGGGATGAGAGGTTCTCGGTGCCCACATCATGCAGAGCGTGGAAGCGTCTACCGTAGCGCCGCCATCGCTGTACGCGCTCTCCGGGATGCGTATTATGTACTCGCGCTTACCAACCGGGCTCCATTTTCAATAGGTTGAGGCCATGGCAATCTTTGGGTATTTCATTGTCTGCTTGTTCCGGTGCATATATTTCCACGGTGCGGCAAGTTGCCGCTGAAGGTCAAACCTCACCACCACCTCAGGCATTTTGCAGTTGAAAACAGGCGCGTGTGTGCTCGTAAGCGAGGCAGACTTGAATTATTTTCACATCGCTGTCATCCGGGCGGAGTTCACCCCAAGCAAGCGTGCGCTGGTCAATATGGGTATCGGCTGCGGAACTCAAGCACGTTTAATGAGAGGCACAACGGCAGCAAAGCCCGGAACATCTTAAGAAACATAATTTGATCCTATTACTATGTTGGACCGCGTAATCGGCAGCACAGAAAATCTTGTCTGGTTGCCAGAAGTCACGATCCGCTTTGCTCTAGCCATGCATAGCACGTAACAGGCCACGGGGGCATCCACCAGTCTACCGGAGCAAGACGATGGTGGCGGCCGAGTACGCTGATCTGTAGGCATCAAATTTTTTTTTGTTTTAGATATGGGAGAAAGCCTCGATTTGCGATGCCAATGCTGGCCACGGCCTCGACATTTTCCTTGAGTATGCTTTTGAGCATGTCGTTCAGTGATGCGCATCTGCGCGCAATTGTGGTGGTTGCTGAGACGTGTTGCGAAGCTTGGATGCTCGGGGGGAGGATGAGGTGGAGGAAGGTGGAGAAAGGTGAAGGAAGGTGGAGGGGAGTTTGGGCAGCTTCAGCGCGCGAGAGTGGAGACATTCCCATCCGCATGCGCCTCTCACTTGTAGGAGCCACTGGGATCTGATCCCATCATGGACCGGTCTACTGGCGCAACTCCTGCTGAGTGCTCCAACAGAGTGAGTCTAGCGCCTCTGGGTTAACACATGCAGGTGATTCCATCTTGTTCTGCGCTCGACCAGTTTGGCTTAGCGCCAGGTGGTTTTGGACCCTGCAGACGCGACGCGCTGTCAGCGGCCACTCTCGTCGGCGATGCTTTTAAACGCTCCTCGATTCTTCTTCCAACCATCACCACCTCATCCACTCATTCTTCGCGCGTTGTTACGCAGCTTTTCGCTTCACCGGATCCACACACTCACTTCAAACACTCTCTTTTCCACACAATGGCTCCGTACAACCACACAGAGGCCGAGTTGCCATACGCTACTCACGTCTTGGGAGGGCAGGAGGTCATGACCAACCAAGGAAGGGCCCAGGCGATAATTGATTGGAACCTGGTCAGTGAAGACTGTTCTTGCAGGACGTGCTCGATGCTAATACTACACAGAGTCAGCCGGCGCATCAGAGGGAAGTCACCACTTTCACCTCACCAGCCCAAGACCAGATGGTGCCGGGCTTTGCCACCAACACCAGCCATTTGGGCAGCATTGGCATGTTTCCGACTCCCCAGCCTTCCACGGTTCACTCGAGTGGCTTTGCAACGAACCCGAACCCGTTCGTTCACAACTATCCGCTCCAATACTCCCACGCCCCGGAAGGCTACCAGCACACGTACCAAAGCCAGGCCGCCACGCAGTATTCTGGATGGAACAACGCGAGTTCTGACATCGAGGAGGCCTCGAGCCTGAACAACAACCCCTTCGCTACTTTGTCCAGTGGCGCATATCAGCACGCTCCGGCCAGTGTGTTTGGCCGGGAGTCCACTCCCAGAAACATGTTCCCTCCCCAGTCGCACTTTGTCGGTCACGGCTACTCGGCGAGCAGTCCGGATGCTGTTGCAGATGTACAGAGCCATGACATGAGTGACGCTGACGCACAAGACGCACTCATCCAGAACTATGCCATGGGACAACCTTCTTTCCGTAGCAAGGCCGCTTTCGCCGGCCCCAACGGGACTTTGAGCCGAGACTTGAACGCTTCTTTCGATACCAGTGTCTTTAATGTCGGCAACGCTTCAGCTCTCTCCCAGAACCTCAGGCATGGCTTTCAGTCCAGCCCTTCCTCGCGTCTCAAGCAGGGCATCTCCTCTAGGCCCTCCGACTTGCCTTTGAGCCGTCACTTGAACGCTTCATTCGATACGAGCAACGTTGATGTCTACGGTGCTTCCAGTGTCTCCCACGGCCTCGTTCATGGCCTTCAGTCCAACGAAGCCGAGAGAGTCGTCGACGAGGACGCCAAGTCCGACAAGACCGAGTCCCTCGACTGGGGCTCCGACATGACAAACGACGGATGCCACAACCAGTTTGACAAGGCGGACTCTCTTGATTGGGATCCCGAGAGGACCAACGACGGACCCAAAGACCGCAATTTCGACAACCTCAGCAGCCCTATCGGCCCTGGCCACAGCCCTGGTCCGTACCCCGCGCCTACTGAGCAGCAGATCAGGAGCTCCGCCCGGTACCGAGTGTGGGATGAGCGTGAGAAGGCCGCCGTCATTCAGGCTGTCTTGTGGGGCCAGATAGCCCTTGAACATTTGGACTTCAACGACCGCTGGGACAAGATCTCGCAGCATCTGGCCACGCACTACAAAGTCCTTCGCCTGCCAAGTGCCATCCGCCAGCGCTGGGAGAACCATATCGCCGATGACTTCAATCGCAACTTGTACTGGAACGAGATGCCCGAGTCCCTGAAGGACCTGAAGGCCAAATACGCCCAGTCCAAACAGGATGAGCACCAGACGGCCGAGCAGGAAAAAGGCCAGCACTCTCAGCAACGGGATTCCAGGTCGTCTCAGAAGCAGAAAAGCCAGCATGCTGAGCAGGAGCCGCTCATCGTCGGTGAAAAGCGCAAGCGCGTCTCCGACAGTCTGGACGACGACAACAACGACACCTTCCGTCCCTCCACCCCCATTACGGCCAACAGCACTACCGAGCTTCGTGCTGCGACACCGCACACATTCCCCGCCGCAAAGAAGCCCAGGCGCTCGACCGCCATCCCCGTCACCGTCACCACGCCGATCCCACAACTCCGCCTCCCCTCGTCCTTCATCAGCGGCTGCAACAGCTCCAACCTCAGGTCCCCTAATGGTAACAGCTTCGCCCGCCGGCCTGCCCCCAGCTCCGCCCCCAGCACCACCACAAACGAGACGCCGAACGACGCCGCCAACCCGCCCACCCAGCGCCAGCCCCAGCGCCGGCCCCAACCCCAACGCCAGCACCGCTCCCCATCCACCACCGTCACTCCCCGCTCCCCACGCAGCAGCACCACCAAGCGCGCCGGCCCGCCACGCCGCCGCCACCTCAGCAGCGCGACACCAACCCCACGATCCAGCAACAGCAACAACAGCAGCGTAGGCAACAGCACGGGCACGGGTACCGGCATCAGCAGCACCGCCAACACCATCACCGACACCGGCACCGACACCGGCACCAACACCATCACAAGCACCAGCACCAACACGAACCGCCGCGCCCCCACCATCTCCGTCAACACGCGCCTCCTCGTCGTCGGACAGAAGGTGCTGGATACCTTCACGGCGCGTAGCGGGGGTCTGGCGCTGCCGGAAGACGCGGCGGCGATCTTGCGGGATGCGGTGGAGGAGTTTGCGCCGTTTGCGGTTGCGGAGAGGAAGGCAGAGGCGGAGGGAAAGGCGAAGGCGGTTGTGTTGGATGTCGGTGGTGGTGAGGAGGAGGGTAAGGGTGGTGAGGGTGGGGTTGAGGCCCGTGAGGGAGTGCAGGTGCAGGTGCAGGGCAGGTCGTGGGCGGGGGAGGGAGTCGAAGAGGAGAATCCGGTGGAGATTAAGGCCCGGCTGGAGGGGTTGTGTATTGGTGTTGGTAAGAGCTTCTTGTATACGTTGGAGGAGCAAGAGGAGGGTGATGGGGAGGGCGAGGCTGCTGCTTGAACAAGGGGAGACGCTGCTTCTTGGTGCGCTGCTTTGGCTCGAGTGTGCTGGCTGAGTACAACATGGGGTAGGGAAAGGAGGATTGCTCGTTGGTTTCTTTCTTTGGGGCTACTTTCTCTTGGGCCATTTTCTCTTGGGCCACTGTTCTGTGGGTCACTTTTCTTCTTTGGGCTGGCTTTTCGTAAGCCACTTTCTTTTGCGTTACGATTTTGGGGGGATGAACAGTAAGATCTGCTTGACTCGTCTCGCTCTGCAGAGCTGGGTTCTGGGACTTCGGTATTCTTAGTTAGGATCATGAGTCATTGGACAAACTTGGTTCGTTGAAGAGACTTCCCAAGTTTGTTTTAGGTATGGATTGGACTTTAGATATGCGTCATTCAGGTGGTTGGACGTGTAGATCCTTCAAAGAATTCTCTAGAGGTTTTATGAGCGGACCTTAGATGGTTTGACCAGCAGTACTTTAAGCAAGATGATGGACAGTTTTTTAACGATTGGGACGAGATATCTCGGGTTCATTCAGCCGGCCTTTCCCATAGACACTCCATTATTTCCTACACCTTTACACCGTCTATCACCAAGTAACCGCTCCTCCCCAGCGTCGTCATCTCCACCCCAAAACAACTCTCCAGTCCCCCATACCCTCGCCCTCACACCTCTCTTCCTCTATCCTCCCCTCCTCTCCTCCCTCTCCCTCCTCACGCCCCTCCCCCCATCCCCCTCCACAACCCACACCCCCGAACTCCACCTCCACGCCCTCCACCCCTCCCACACGCCCGTCCCCCACCCCCCCAGCGGCCCCTGCACCTCCTGCCCTCCCTCCGCCGCATGGCCCATCCCCGCCTCCCCGCCTCCCCTCAAACAATCCACCCCCTCCACCCACTCCCCCCCTCCATCCTCGCCCCCAACCCAGCCCCAATGCCACTCCCTCAGTCCCTCATGCCCCCCCTTCTCACACCACCGCACCTGCTCCCCGGCGTCGTTCGTCCCCATCCCCGCCTGCTCCGCGCAGTACGTGCACAGCGGCGCGCACCCCTCGGAGACCAGCTGCGCTGTGAGATGCTCGCGCGAGAGGGAGAGAAGACGCGTCGGCCGCTGGATGCGGCATTTGGCGCAGGTGAAGGAGGGCGTGCCGTGGGGGAGGGAGAGGAGAGCGAGGGCTGAAGGGAGGGTGTGTGGGGTTTCGGCGGCGGTGTCGGCGTCAGAGAGGGCATCGTCGTCGGCGGGCGTGGACGACGGCAGCAGGGGTGGGCCGAACACGGGCTTGGCGGGCTTGGTGGTGGTGGTGGGGGCGAAGGTGACGGTCTTCTTGGGCTTTGTGGGCGGCGGCGGCGGGTTCTTGTTGGCGGCGCGCGGTGCTGGGAAAGAGTCGAGGAACTCTTGCAGCGATAGGACCTCCGAGTCTGCGGGACCCGGCGGTGCGGGAGGAGGAGTAGTAGGAGGAGGCTGCTGCGCGGCTTTTGCCTTCTTGTTGAGCTTCTGCCTCTGCTTCTTCTGAGCCCCTTTGCTCGACCTCTTCTTACTGGTGAGCTTGCTGTCAAACGAGCCGTCGAATGTGTCTTGTTGCGAGCTTGCGGAGGTCATGTCCTGTGAGGTTTGCGGCGTGATGTTGGGCAAACCAAGCTTGCTGTACTGCGGGCCGACGTTCTTGGGACTCGGGTCTTTCTCAGTGATGACCGGCTTGTTCTGGTTGTACGTGGTGTGACCTCGAGAAGGACGCTTGCGATGGTGGAGGTGTTCGTCGGGGTGAGACGAGCTAGACTTGCGCTTGTGCGCCGGCGAGTCGTCGAACATATGGACGTCTTGGTCGCTAGCCTTGGTCATGCCCATGCTAGGCGACAGAAGGTCAGATTGTTGATGAAGCGCGGATGAGGTGAGTTTGGCCTTGCTACTGGCAGGCGGAGTGGTTGGCGGAGCCATCTTCTGCGCGCTACAAGGAGCTTGTGGTTGCGAAAGCGGATGCGGATGCGGATGCGCTCGAGTGTTGTGGTAGGAGGAGTGAGGTTGAAGATGAGAGTTTTGGAAGAAACTTGAAGAGTCTGCCGTTGTCTCTGTCGGATGACGCAAGTGGAAGTTGGTGCGCAGGTGAAGATGGATGGTCTGGAAGCCAAGGGCGATGTATAAATACGGCAGCTCACTGACGCTCAGGCCACTCTCCAGCAAGATGCACGAGGAGTGTGCGTACACTTCGCTCAGCTCAGCGCGCGCTGGCTGGAACCGCGCTGGCTGATGTGGACTAGCTAAAGCGGTCTGCTCTCACTTCATCAAGCTCCGTAGGTAGACTTCCAACACGGCATCCACACTGCCCCTCGATCAACCTCGCAAGATGCGCTAAGTAGGGACTGAGTGTCACCACAGCCAACAAACCCAGTATTCCTGAGCTCCAAGAGCAAAGGTACTGCATGGACAGTGTGACAGTTTCCATGCCACTACAACTGCGATGCGGCGTAGGCTGTAGCTACCTTTGCCCAGTGAGTGCAGATTCTATCTCTGGTTAAGCCGTGGACACACCCACTTCAGCTTGTTAGCGTCAATAAAGTGCTTGATTGGCATAACTTAAGGTGGACATCTTGTGGTGCCATTCAAAAGGCGGCGAAGGCAGGAGAAGCGCTCTGCGCTGTCCGAGAGCCGCTCATGTCCTCTAAAAGTGTCAGCCTCCATGGTACGTTCATTTCTACGGTCGCGGCCTCATTCATTTGTGATTGGCAAGGCAACTTCTCCGCGACATCACTCGAATGTAAGACGCATACCGAAGCGTAGGGAAGCTCTGGTCCCCTTACGCGGGGTATCATAGGCTCACGAAGAACAAGAGCTTGGTTGTCCTGCAACAAGTCTGCTTTGATATCAGAGAGACGCCATGCTTATACTCCCCGCACGTATGGGTTCTCAGATCCTTCTGTCCTCGCTGTGGGTCGAAGAAGACATCCGCGTCGTGAGCCTGATACGCCTTCAAGGATTGGCCCTGAACTCAAGGACATGAACACTGAGAAGCGGATTGCCGTCACAGACGCGTCGTGCCCAGGGGGCGTGGAGCAGGAATCATGTTCGGACTGCACCCTGTAAGATCCATAGTAGAAAGATTTCGGTTTCTTGTCTCGGAATCGCCACATGATTGCCAGCCTGTGAATCCATGCAACGAAATTTGCCAGTCTTTGGCGTACAAAACATACGAAGGTGCCAGCCCCAACAATGACTTCCGTTCGGTCTCCTTCCCGCTGGACAGGCACGAGATAATAGCACAAGCTTGTCTAGATCTATGGTCTACCGCTTGAAAGCTGCATTCTCCATTGCTAACACATGGCTTTCTGAGCTGAGCTCTACGCGCCTGTTTACCATGCATTGTCTGCTAATACTGTCATCACATGTAGGCCGGCGGACCCAACCAAACACTGCTCATTGTTTCAGATAAACAAAAGAGTTGTTCGAACTCACTAACACAATTGATGCGGTGCGTGTGGCGACGCGGGTGGTTGGCTGCGGTAGCGAAATCAGAAGAGCAGTCACGATGGACAGAGAGGCTAAAACCCCCCAGACACTTTCAAAATCCTCCCAACCCAACCCAAATCTAATCCTCAGCGACCCATCCACATTTTTCAATCTCGAAAACTGAAGCCACTTACCTATTGTTATGGCGTCTTGGAGATCCTCCAGCGTGGAGGACGTGGACATGGCGTATCCGGACAACCCTTTCTTCACAGAAGAGGCAGCAAGGACTCTGGGCCTTCTCGCCGGCCAATCGACCGAGCTGGAGCTCGACAAGCTAGACACTTACCTGCCGACCTGGGAAGGCGCCACACAAGAGCCTGACGTCACACGTGCTCCGACGCCCACCACTGCCGCACCCAATCCTGACCCAAGATCTCCTGTCGACCTTGTTGAGGCTCGTCACGTCAGCCCGGAACCCTCGTCCCTGTCAGGTTCCCGTCGCCGCAGGTCATCCAGTACGCTCTCGAACATTGTCGTCGCCATACCTTCACCAACTCTGATCGCAGCTAAGCCTGTCAATGATACCATGTCCGCATCATCGACTTCGGCCGCTCAGCGCACCCCGGAGGAGCAAGATAGGTACTACGCATGGCTTCGTGAGAATTCCCTGCATCGCTTCTCCACGTCCAGTCGGGCTTCGTCAAAGCCTGCAGCCGCATCGCCTCAGCTCACTTCACAGTTGGCGACTCAGAGCCTTCCTTCTTCGAACGCTCCAGCGCCCGAGCAATCTCATCACCCTTTCCTGCACCCGACTTCAGCCAAGCAGAGCGCGGCCCTCTTGACATCTGAGCCTGGCGCCGTCTCCTCCGCATCCAAGTCTTCTCCCAGCCAGACCTCCTCGAGCGACACCGACTCGTCCACAGCCTCCAGTCCCCAGCACAAGCAGCGCGACCCGCCGCCGCGCCCTCAGCACAGGAACAAGAAGACAGGATCATCGGACATGAGCACCGACGACTCCACGGCGCCGGCCACCACCTCACCCCCGGAGCAGACGAAGCCCAAGGTGACGCGCCACCCCGTGAGCTACAGCGGCGGGCCGCCCACGAAAGAGGACCGACGGTACGTACTCCCCCTCCCTTCCTCCCCACATACTCCCCTCTTCCTTACTAACACGCACTCCAGTGCCATGAACTCCCTCCGCTGCAACAAGATCCCGCTCACGGCCCTCCTCCGCCGCTACGCCACCCTCGTCGTGCACTTCCCCACCACTACCGCCCTCCACACCCTCACCCTCTACGGGCGCTGGGACGACGAGCGCGACGACGAAGTCCTCGCGGCGGATGCGCTCGCGGTTGACATCTCGCCGCAGCTGACGACATTCGGCGTGCTGGAGGCCGAGGTCGAGATGGTGCGGCGCAAGCGCGCGGGCGTCAACGGCGCGCTGGACCGCGAGAAGTTGGTCAAGGAGGCGCTGGCGGGGGGGTGGGTCGAGGTGCGGGCGAAGGACAGGAGGGAGGGCGTCGACGTGGGGTTTGGGCGGATGGGGGAGGAGCTGGTGCTGAGGAGGCAGACGGAGGACGGGAAGGGGGAGGTGAGGATCGATGTGTTTCGGGAGGTCGAGGAGGAGGTTGGGCTCGAGGTGGGCGGTCGGGGCGGACGTGTGGATGGGAGCGAGGGTGGGGATGTTGTGATGGGGGATGCTGGGGATGATGAGGAGTATGAGGACTCCTCGAGCGAGGGGAGCAGCGGTTAGGGAGCGGGATTTCACTGAGGACGGATTTGCTGGGGGATTTACGGGATGATGGAAAACAAGAAAGAAAAGGCGAGGGATCTACAGGACGATGGAAGACAAAAAAAAAGGCGGGGCATCTACAAGACGATGGAAAACAAGAAAAAAGACGAGAGATTTACTGCAGACTCGAGCGATGGAAACAGGGCTTTACGGATTTGAGGGCTGGCACAAAGGCTGGTGATGACAAAAAATAGTGGAGGCATGGAAACGGATCATATCACCTTGCTGGCGAACGAGATGTAAATTACATCCAAAGAGGTCGATTTGTTGTTTCAGATACTCTACTTCTAATGAAATAGAAATTGAGTTGACTTGAACAGAGTTTTGATTGGAATGACTTTACACCGGACCTTTCTTGTACTCATTCTGCCCAAGGTCCATAATCGTGACAGAAGAAATGTACCGTAACTGTCTTTCGACATTCGTGAGATTGCATTTGCTTGCATTAAGAATTCGATGATAGTGGAGAGGCGAAGAAGAGGTATATCACTGTAATTTTTGCAGCGAAAACTCCAAAAAGGGGAGGACTGGAAAGGGGGAAAAATTATATTTGCATCATCGCCAGCCTCCCAATCCGCCGGTCATTCACACATATATCGAGCGTAGCGTAACAACACCAACCAGTAGCCCTCGAGGATGTGTATGAGAGAGAGAGAGCGAAAGACTCACGATGTGCAACCCCTTACCTACTCACCTCCCTACCCGCCCCGCCCCGCCCCGCTCCGCCAACCGCGCGCGCCCGACCCACAGGACACGACCTACATAGGTACTACTCCATACGGCTCTCAACACCATATACACGGACCCGCGACAGCCTCAAATGCACACATCACCAGCCAGCCAGCCGACCGACGGACCGACCGACCGTCCTCGCCCCACAACCCACGCCTCACCATCGAAAGACCCGTACCCGTCTCTCGTCCGACAGCCTCACCACCACGGCCTGCGCCGCAAAGAATACCCACATGACACAACCCACACCCACACCCACACACGCGCTAACCGCGCCGCGCCGCGCCGCCGTCCCCGCCGCCGCCGCCGCCGCTGTCGGGAAAGAAGACGCAGCCAGGCAGGTAGGCAGCCAGCCAGGCACGCAGGTAGGGGGACGTCGACCGGTCAGTGCGCGCGGCGCAGCAGCAGCTGCCTACCTGCCTGCCTACCCGCCTACCTGGCTATTTGCCAGCCAGCCAGACTGTCTATTTGCCCGCCTTGCAATACATATGCAAGCCCGCACGGCACGCATAACAGTCATCCTACCTACCTATTACACGAGACCCGGCTGCAGCCAGCTGAGTAGCTAGGTAGCTAGCCCTTGTCCGCCTGCCTGCATGCCAGCCGCGGTAGCCGCTAAACCGAGCAAAGGCGCCCCCCCTCCCCTCCGTCCCCGCCCAATATACGCGCGCTCGGGACCGCAACGAATGTTCGACGCGGCTTCCATGGCGCACAGACGGCTTCGAACGAATGTTCCGTACGTCGGAGGCTATGCCGGATGCGGGCGGGGGGGCGGGTCCGCGTACTTACCTACGTTGGGGATGGATTTTGTTGGTGGTGGTGGATGATGCTGGGAAGGGGTGTGTGCAGTGCTGGTGCAGGGTGGTGCAGTGGCTGGGGTGGGTACGACGTACCATGTCCGTCGGTGCCGGGGTGGTGGGTGTATGTAGCGGTGAGCGAAGACGTGCATATGTATGCCGGCCGCCGGCGGGAAGCTGGCGAATCATGCGGCGCTGACTACCTACGCCGCGCTGCCTTGCGTGCGTTGCGTTGCATGCGTCCGCCGGACGCACCGGCGGACGATTGGTGGGGTGGGCGCGGGCGGACGAGGTGCAGGACGCGCGCGGAGGGAGGGAGATAGGGCGAGTGATTGGGTTTGTTTGGTGGTGCGGGCGCTGGTAGTGTGCTTCTGGAGGGCTTCGGTTGCATTGGCGTGCGGGCAGGGGGGAGAGAGAGGGAGCGGGACGCGATTGTTAGTGGTAGGTAGCCACGTTGGCGGCTTGTCTTCTTCTGGTGGTGGTGATGGTGGTGGTAGGCGCGTGGGCAGGCTTGAGTCAGGGAGGGCGTTGCGCGGTAGTCGGTGCTTTATTGTTTTTTTCTGGTAGTGTTCTGGAAAAAAGGGGAGCGGAGGAATGGAAGGACCCTGAGTTTGGGTGTGGAGTTGCGAAGGCGGTGATGGATGGAGAATGCCGAGCAGGGAGATGCTTGTTTGGCCAAGGACCTTTGTTTTGACGTCGTAGTTAGTAGCATTGAGGGACGAGATTGTGCCGTGTAGCTGGTGGAAGATGGATGATGATGAGACGGGCTTGCGGGAGGAGAATGGGCAGCGGCGGAGCTTGGGTCGGAGGAGACGACGAAGGCTGAAAACTCTTCAAGACGCTCCCCGCTGACATCATGGGCATCGTCCCGGGGAATTGGTCACAGAGCGACAATCATGATGGTGTTTGTTCCGAGATGCTCCGCTGCCACGTCAAGCAGGTTGCGACGTTCTGAAACGCGCGGAGCGACGACTGAAACTCGCAACATGGACTGGACGACGAGCTCCGTGACCCGAAACACCATGACGCAAATCATCGTGAGTCACCTGCACGCGTGCGGTGGGCGGCTACGTCATGCGGCGGGCCAGAGGATCTCCCGTCTGCGGCGCGAAGGGTCAGCAAAAATTCTCCTCAGATCTCACATGCATCCGCCATCACACCGCAAAGTACGGGGCTGCAGAGGATTTCCTTCATGCCGTGCAACACCAGATCCTGCAGGCCTTGGGCGTGGGCACTGGGCACACATGGCAGATCGCTGGTGTTGCACTCAGCCTCGTGGCCCTGCCTCTGCTGGAGGTGACAGATGCTGCTTGACCGGTCAGCCTGCGCTAATGCACGCACGGCAGCATGCGTCAGGCTTGCTCCCTTCCCCTCTTTTGGTCCCTCCGGCCTCGAAACGGAAGCGCACAGGTCGCCTCGGCCCAAGCCGGCACCGGCGGAACACGTGGTTCACTTCTAGAAAACCGAAGGAAGCAGCGCTGGCCTTGCGGCTAGTCGCTGGGCACTTACTTGTACCGTGATGGCGCAGGCGCTTACGGAGGAGTACACGGTACCCAGAGCTACCAACCCCACCCAACCAACCGCAAGCACCCACCGCATGCGCTACACACGCCCGCTGCCGAATCGACACGAGACGACGCGCCGCCGCCCGCCGCGCCCTGGCCGCGATTCCCGCGATAATGGAAACACGCCAGTCGCCGTACGTATACCTGCCTACGAGTTTCTCCGATGCGGCTGCCGAGCGATCGGATCGGAAACACGCATATGGGGTAAACCAGCCTGCCTTCTTCCCGGATCCAGTATGGCGCACGTGGGGTCCCTACTCCTTTCGAGTCGAACCGGAGCCGCGCGCCGCTTTGCATCCGTGTGTTTCCAGTGGTGCGTGATGGTGCGTGGGGTCCAGCATCTCCACCACCATCAAATCATCGTCGTCGTCGTCATCATCATCAGCATCGCCGGCCGTGTCGCCAGCAATCGCCCGTCACATCAGCCGCCGCCCACAGACAGTCGAAGACGCTCGCGGACTCGCGCAGCAGCACACGGCGCCGTCAATCCGCCAGTGTCTGTCCGTCAAAAGCGGATACAGCTGTATCCGACAACGCAGGGTGGGGTCACTCTAAAAAAACGTCCGTAAACTAAAGTAGTGCATGCGGGCGCGCGCGGACCCTGCGAACCAGCCTGGCCAACAGCAAACCATCCACGCACGCGCTCGCCCGCAGCACCCCCCTGTCCCGCCGTCGTCATTCGCTAAACACCCCGGCCCCCGAACTTACCGTTGCCGGCTAGCCCCAATGCACGCCGCCCCGTGCTTGAAGAAGAACGGCGGCAGGGGTCTCGTTGCAGAAAGGGCCGATTGGTGGAGCGGGGTTGGCTGGCAATCGCGTTGGCCATCGCGTTGGCCATCGCGTTGGCCGTGAGCAGAGCGAGAGGGCGAGAGGATGAGATAGGAGGGTTGTGCGCGTGGAGCTGCGCCGCCTGGGTGGGAGCTCAGGGTAGGGCTGTGTAGCTCCGGCTGCGGCCAACCGAGAGGGAGGCCTTAGACAGTATTGCGGGGGGAGGAATCGCCGTGAAAGTCCGTATAGCGGGCAGATAAGGCCGATAACCGTCAACGAACCTCTCGGGTCATTGATGGCGCGTTCAAGCCACACGCAAGCCGAGGATGGGAGAAGACCAGCAGCACGAAGGAAGGGAACAGGGAGGATCATCTGCCTGCCTGCCTGCCTGGCGCCGCCGCTGTCTCCGCTCCGCGTTGCTGGGGCTGGGAACTTGCCGATACCGTTCCGCCGGCCTCTCCACCTTCGTCGCAAGAAGGATTCGCATTCATCAATCAGACAGCGCGCCATGATGACTACGAGTCGCGCACCACCATGTTACAGCAGTACCGTTGGACTGCCGAGTATCAGCCCCCCAGCCCACATCTGGATGCCCAGCACCCACCCAAGCCCATTCTTGTCAGCACTCAAGCCTCTCGGATCCTAAGCTCCTCTTTTTCTCACATCGTCGTCCTTCTGCCTGCTGCACGCCATCCGGCGCTAAGCAAGCACGCACGCACTCGCTCCTGCAGCAAACAAACAGACCCCGTCGTCGTCGCCTCCTCCTTCCTAATGTCCGTCCCTCCGCAGACGCCGTTGCTTCATTCCCCCCATCGGCTCCAAAATTCCCCGATACTAGCTATCACATTTCCTTCATTTCCCTTACCCAGAAGCCCTTATCCCCTCCAATCCCAGCCCTCGGACCAGCCGTAGCCGCTCTGCCCTCCGCTGCGTTGTTCTCGTCTCACACGTCTCGTGGGGAAAAACCAAAACAAAACGAAAAACAAAACAAGCCCCGGCCAATGCTTCCGCCGCCACACACACACATCGATGCACACACGCACACGGACCACCTTCTGTCGACACACCTTTCGTCGTCCTCCACTCTTCGGCGTCCCCC